GGTCATTTAATTGTGTGGAAAATCAGAAAAAACTTTTATGGCTAACTTAGTTTTATCTGGTTCGTGTGTACCGAGCAGCCAGTGGTGAAGGTTCTCACTTCTAACCTAACGACCTTCTGGACTTCACTTCATCACACAGAATGTTTAAAAACCGACGATTTGATAAAAGTTACAGTTAAACCTCTAACCCCCCCAACCCCCCCCCCCCCCCCCCCCCCCCCCCCGTGGATCCAGCTCTGGACAGAACAAACTCCTCAGCATGCCAACAGCTAACCTATTTGTAGTCGCAGAAGGTTTGCTAAAGCCTGAAAAGGGATTAGGCTGTTCTCCTAAGTCATCCTCGTGCGTGCGCGCGCGCGCGCGCGTGTGTGTGTGTGTGTGTGTGTGTGTGTGTGTGCGCGCCAGTCACTGAAAGATGACCATGACTATAGTGGGGTAGGTGATCGAATGATAACAATTAATATTTTAAAATAACTTTTCCTTGATAGACTTAAGAGAAGAGGTCGATAGAAATTTGGTATGAAGGACAGGGCCACACAGCTCAGTAGCAGCTAGACGGCTAAAGCCTGATTTATACTTCTCTGTGAGCTCCGCAACAGAGAGACGCACACGGAGTGTCCGAATGGTTTTCACATGCAAACTTCTGTTCAGGCAGCGGGGTGTTGCAAAGCAATTCCCCACCAGGACAGCAGAGGGCGTAGCGCTTTTCTGTGGTATCCTGCCACCATCACACTCATGCATCCGGTCCACGATAGTGTATTTACCAATGTGTTTATACATTTCAGACTTTTTAACACGGACAAATTTGTCCTTCATTCTCCTCCACCTCTTCATGCGTTCGCCACCTCTAAACCCACTTTTGCCATCGTTTCAGTTCGCCTTTGCTCCGTATTTTGTACTTCGCTCATGTGTGAATAAATGTTCATATTTTCAGACTTTTTCCTCGATGCGTTCTTGAATCTGTTCTGGGTCTGCTGCTAAATATCTGTTTACTTTTTAACGGAGCTTCAGCGGTGCTGGTGACGAATATACAGGAAGCGGTGTCCTGACCAATTGCAAGCTTGCTGTCTCCGTCACCCTCTGTGAGCCCGTCGGAGAGCCCTAGCGCTGACGCATAATGGCGTTGAGTGTCTTCGCACCGACGCAGACGGAGAAGTATAAATCAGACTTAATACTTGTGTCGTAGGGCTGGGCAATAAATCAAAAATTCATCATAATTTCTGACTTTCATCGAGATCATTTTTCCTATGTCAATAAATTTGATGATAAAAAATGAGAAGATGTGTGTAGGTTGGCAACGTTTCTGTCCCTTTAAGAAGCTGTACCACGTTGAGTCACGTAAAAATGTGACTCAGCGTAATACATGTGACTTTAGTTCCTGCACATACCTGTAGGTGTCGTCCATTTATCGTTATCGAGGTGAAATCCTCAATATATCGTAATATTGACTTTAGGCCATATCGCCCGGCCCTATGGGGTAGCTTTAGCCTTTTAACGTGGCTGGTAAAAACAGGACATATGAGATGGAGGACGCGGTATGACATTGTTGAAAATAAGAAACTGAACAGTGCTTTTGCATGGACACAGTTTGGCTCGTTAACGTCATAGCTGCACTGCTAATGAGTGCTGGTTCTGACAAAGTTGGGGAAAACCACCGATCTGCAGCAGCTCCCCCTGCTGGAGCAGCAGGGTAAAAACGTTAGAATCCCAGACGAGGGCAAGTTTGAAGAGATTTACAAACCCGGTCACAAAACTCTCACCCCTCCCTCTGGCCATCAGTCATGATTCACTGTTTTCAAATTTTACATCATAAAAACAAAATTGTAGCAATTTGTTTGAATATCATCACTTTTAGCCACTTCTCACAAAGAGGTTTATAAATATGCTCAAACTAAAAAGGAAGATTACATGTATGTATACATACTGTCTATTACTGGAATACCTTCTGCTAACATCACCGATACTAAACTGGGTTTTAGGGCATGGAACGTCCCTGGTAGAGTGGAGCATGAATTTACTGGAAGTTGACATAGTTGGGCTTGCCTCCACCTCCACATGGACTCTAGGACCAACCTCCTGGAGGGGGTGGTCTGATCATGTTCCACTCTGGATGAGGGTCTCACAGCCCAACATCTATTCTTTTCCCTAGGTGGGTGAGAGAGGGGTCTCACACGCCTTTGAGTGTGAGGACGGGTCCCAGTTGTTTGAGGAATGGCTCATTACAGCAGTTCAGAACACACAGCCATCTTAAGAGTCATTGGGTGGAGTCCTGGGTGCTCCACCTGGGAACTCAACTGTCTCACAGAAGCACGTCAACTTCCAATGTACCTGGAGAGGCGTGTTGGGCAGATCTGCACCGTAGTGGTGGTACCGGTTTGTCCATAACGAGCTTTGTGTTTGAACATAACGGTTTCCACCATGAGTGCATGTAGCCCAGGCACACGCTGAGTGACAGGTTGATTACTGATTTGTAAATCTGCAACCATATCTACATTTAAACATTCTAACACCACCACTCATCACCACCCAACGGGTTGGATTAGGTTTAGAGGGAGATGCTGGACAGATGCAATGTGCTTTATCACAATTCTGTTCATAATTGTTAAGGACAGAATTTCTGATTGCAGCCAAAGGTTTGTGCTCATGTTGGCTACGCAGAGCGATAGGATCTTTGGCAGGGTTAAGAAGCTAGGATGATGATCAGTATCTCCAACTCTGAAGGTACAGTGCTCGATTGGGAAAGGCTGGAATATGAAGTTAATTTGGGGAATGAGCTTCAGTTCAAGGTTTAAGTAGGAGTGGAATGATGTGTGGGATGGATAGGTGGTGCGGGGCAGCATCTGCTGTGATGTGGACTCTAGACGGATCTGTTGTTGTGAAAAATAAAGAGTTTTTAGGAGAAGCTGTTTATTTATAGCCTAGTGAACTAGACCAAATTCTTGCTTTGCAAAGTTTGGTCTAGGAACGCTCCACTGGAACCTCTGCAGCCCCAACAGCATTCTGGCTGGCCAATCACAGCTTTCTAGAGGGGTTTCAAACACATAAAGAGCTGTGATTGGTCCATAATGGTGGGCCAATCATAGTGCTCTATCTGTTTAGTGAACAAATCACAGAGCTTTATCCGCTTTGTGGGCCTATCAGGGCACTCTATATGCCTGGTGGGTGGGATGATGCAACAGAGTGAAACAAGATGGCGACAGCTCGTTTTAAACGGCTTTTACATCAATGTTGGACTATTAGAACTTGGGCTTCATTAGAATCAGGAGCAGATAGATGTATTTAAGTGCTTTTATTTAGAGAAAATTACGTGTTTTCTCCTTCTTCAACTGCAGACCGCCTCATTTACCGATAGCTGTTGCGGTGAGTACGTCACATTCATTGTCCAGTAGCATGCGGAGATCATTTGAAAGACAACGGTAGAACCCGCCCCATAACCGAGAGCCGTCAATGGAGCGTTGCCAGACAAAATAATATAATTTATTTAGTCTGGCTTGCCAGGCTAGTTTATTTACCAACTCAACTATGAGTCTGCGTGGCTTCTGGACGGACTGCTATTCATACCGACTGCGGATCATGTGGGAACATTTCTGTAAAGTTGCTCACAAGTTTATGTGGAATCACGTAATAACATAACATAACACACACTGAACCGATATTCCAATCATCAGTGGTGCCCCCAAGGGATGGCCAGGGGTGGCCATGGCCATCTCTAGAAAATTGATGGCCACCCCAGGGAAGACCAATATTTAAAAAAAAAGTCACATTAATGTCCACACAAACCATAAATTAATCTTATTTAATGGAGACATACAGGTGAAACTTGATAAATTAGAATATGATGAAAAAATAACCATTTATGTCAGTAATTCAGCTCAGACTGAGAAACCATCTTAAGGCTCAGGAACCCTCTGCAGGTGTTCTGGATTCATTAGCTGATTAGAGTGTGGCACTTTGAGTCTAGAATACTGAACCTTTTCACAATATTCCAATTGTCTGAGATTTTGAATAGAGGTGGCATCAATATCAGTATCGGCCGATGTTAGTCATTTTTTAACATATCGGTATCGGTTCGAGAAATAAAACCGGGCCGATATTAGCAACCACTATATTTTCCATCTAGTCTCCATTTGTTTATCTGTTTCAGAGGTTGAGGGGGGGGGTGATGTGTATTTGCTTAGTCATGTGATAGTGATTGTAATCATCTCAGAAGCATAAATGTGTATGGTGTGTGTACATAATAATGTAAATTCTGCTTTAATCATTTTCATTTTGTACAAAATTGCTGATTTTAGAAGCATTAATATTAAAGTTAAAGTTAAAGTCCCATCAGTTGTCACACACACTGATGTGTGTGCGACATTTGCTCTCCGCATTTGACCCATCCCCTGGGGGAGTGGTGAGCTGCAGACACAGCCGCGCTCGGGAACCATTTGGTGGTATATGTCAGTATATCAACATCGGCAAATATCGGTTATCGGCCATAACAGTGATATTAATATCGGTATCGGCCCTAAAATTTCATATCGGTGCATCACTAATTTTGAATGTGGGGTTTTAATAAGCTGTAAGTCATAATCATCATAATTATAAACAGATAAAGGCTGAAATATCTGGTTTTGCATGGAATGAGTTGGATGACTGACATAAATGAACTTTTGCACGATGTTCTAATTTTTCAAGTTTCACCTGTACATGCACCCCAACCCTAACCCTGAAAGTGTTATGCTACACACACACACACACACACACACACACACACACACACACACACACACACACACACACACACACACACACACACACACACACACACACACACACACACACACACACACACACACACACACACACACACACACACACACACACACACACACACACACACACACACACACACACACACACACACACACACACACACACACACACACACACACACACACACACACACACACACACACACACACACACACAGGTCTCTGTTTTGTGTTGTGGGTCACCTTGGCAGCCACTGAGGAGCTGGGTTTCTCCAGGAGGTCCCAAAGCTTCTGTCGCTGTTCTGGACAGCAGCCCTGCTCCTCCTCCTCTCCCTCCTTGTCCCTCAGCGTCTCGGCCTCCCTTCTCAGCTCCTCGTTCATCTGCTCCTTCTTCTGATGGTATCGGGCCTGACAGCAGGATTCTAAGTATATCTCATCAATGCCCCAGTAGTCCAGCTCCTGGCCAAAGGACAGTGCACACATCTCCTCCATCATATGTAATTTCCCGGTTCTGTAGAAATTCAAGATGGAGGAGAATGCCATTGGATGTCGGTCGAAGAAGTACTCATTCTCTGAGAGGCTGTAGTCGTCACAGATGTCCAGCAGCGATTCGTTGGTGTTGCAGTCTCTGAGCCGACCCAGACGGGTTCTGGGCAGCCGATCCAATGTTCTCCACAGCACTTCATGTGTGAGTCCTCCCACGTTCAGCCTGACTCTCCGGGAGCGGGCTTTGGTCCGGATGATGTCAATTGGCTCAGGGGGGGGCACAAGGGTAGCAGCAGGCCGGGGGTTGACTTTGGGAGTGCTGAAGCTGACTCTGTCCGTCATGTTGAGTCCCCCTGTTCTGCTGCCTCACGGTGAGGCCGCTTAACCTCGAGCACGGTTGATTCCTGAGCTTCTGGGGTCTTCTCTAAAGAGAGATAACCTAGGTCTGTTCAGGCTGACGTTCTCCTGGTGAGATCCATAGCTGAAAAACAGAAAATCACAGCGGTCAAACCCGAGTCAGATCAGTGGTTTTATTGCTGTAAATAATTAAAGAGCAGTGATGAAAAAAATTTTAAAAAACTCCCTGACCCTGACACAAAGTGGAATCGAGCTTCAAAAGGATTAAAACATCCCACACCGATTGAATCAGGAGGAATTCTAAAGCAGGAGCAGGACTCTCGCTGGTGAGGTTGTGTTCAAGTTTTTTACCCATCTGACAAACTGTCTGTGCTCATTCATCAGCCCCTCTGTTCCTCAGGAGATGAGGTGAAATCTAAAACCTTTAGAGAGAGGATGTCCTCCAAGCAGAAGAGCGGCTCTTTAACCCCCGAGCCTTTCTCCTGCCGGAGTGCCTTCTGCTGTCGCTGTATTGCTGCAGAGTGTGACCGCTGGCTGTAGCATACCCGCGATAAAAGCACTTAGTGATCTACGGATCAGAGGGACTTGAGAATGAATAATCATTTACTGGTTTTACAAAACCCTGGAAGACTGATGGGGACCCTGCAGAATCACACCAGCTGCTCCAGATGTACTTCAGTAGCGGAAGATCACACCAGATGTCTCTCCTGTCAGCTAAGAACAGGAACCTGAGGCTACAACTCTCACAGGATCACCAGAGCCGGACCAGATGAGATCGAAAAACCCTTTCTGCTCTGATGAGCCTGGATCTCGGCTGCAACCTTCAGATGGTCGGGTCAGAATTTGGTGTCACCAACATGAAAGCAAGGTTTCATGTTGGTGATGGTGATGGTGGTAGGGTGTGTGTGTGTGTGTGTGTGTGTTCCACATTGAAGAAGAAAGAATCTTTTTCAAAGCGCTTCTCAAGACAAAAATCATGAGGCGCTTCAGAACAAAATATAAATAAAAAAAAAATATATTTTTAAAAAATGATAAAATTCATAAAAATTAGAAACATTTTAAATTGTGATAAAAAATATAAGCCTATCTATCTATCTATCTATCTATCTATCTATCTCTCTCTCTCTCTATCTCTCCCCAAACGTCTCACATTTAGGATCTCATGTGGTCTCCAGCTCCTCTGTAGGCTTCCCGTGAGGTTTAAGTGTGTGTTTATGGGATTATCATTTTTCATGATTCTTCCAGAGGACCATTTCTTTGGTCAGACATTGATGCTGGACTATCAGTCTTCTATCTGCTGGGCCTTTATCTGGTTGTGTAATGCCCCTTTAATTCCCTGGAGAGGCTTTAGGATCAGTCTCTGGAGGCTCAGGGTGGCCCGGGTTAATTATAGACAGTCTATCCTCTCCTGGGACACTCTCAGGACACATCAGGAACCAAGCTGCTACGTCATGATGAAAAATCCTCCCAACCGGTTCCAGCTCTGCCTATGATCCAATAATGAATCGGGCTTTTCCTGCAGGACTCGAATGCACTAAGCAAAAAGAACCGCAGGACTAAAGTGAGTTCGGGTCCTTTAAGAGAACAGTGACAAGAACAAACTGTGACTGAAAGCGGGCCGAACCGGTCCCAGCACTTTAATATCTGCAAGTTCCTTTAAGAAATTTCTTTAACAGCAGAAAAGGTCCTAAAGGGACCAAAGTCAGCCTACCTGTGTGGAACTTCTACCGACCTGTCGCCCGCATCCCATAATTAACAGTTGGACCGGCGGCTCCGCTCCAGACTGGTCGCGGGTCCTTCATCCGAACCCAGATCGCGGCGGACCGAGAAGATCCACATGTCTGCAAAACGATCCACCGGAACGAAACGCACGCCAGCAGGAGCCAGGGTGGACAAGTGAAGCTGCAGGTCCTGAGCAGATGGAGGGGGGGGGGGGGGGGGTGTAATTGGATTGAGGCGTTCAGGACTGAACAGATCAACAGCCTGTATTAACTTTGGCTCCTGTTGCTCCTCCTGCTGTTCTGGACTGTTCAGAACAAGAGGAACCCAGAAGTGAAGCCAGAACCAGAGCTGTAGTCTACAACACCTGGACAAAGTGGACCTTACACTTAGTTTTATTGATCTGCTAACCTGAAGTATAACACAAGCACATCAACAACCGAACACATGCATGTAATATGACAATATAACACATTGGATCACAGTTTAAATAGGTTACTTTAAATGAGCTTCCAGCCAGCAAGCACAGGCAACCTGTGGGATGGGGATGGGGGTGGGGGTGGGGTGGGGGTGGGGGTGGAGACAGGGAAGGACTCCTCTAAAAGCAGTTTTACAAACACATGTAGTGCTCACAGTTCTTTAACCTTTTTTTTATTTCCTCTAAAATAAGTTCTCATGCACATGCAGACATACAAGCTGGTCCATAGGGGGCGCTAAGGCGCTGCCCTTCCCAAGAGGCAAACTCTCACCTGTGGGAATTAAACGAGCCAATGTGGGGCTGGAGCCAGAAAAGAGCAAGTTCCCATTGACTCTCATGTTAAATATACCAACTTCACAGCAGAAACAAACATGTTTACAGCCTGGTTCAAAAACATTTTAGGTTTAATAAATCAAGTTTACTGTGATGACAACTCTGAGTGGGGTGCATTTATTTGTAACGTGTCCATTTAAATGTAATTCAATTCAATTCAAAATACTTTATTAATCCCAGAGGGAAACTGATTTGATTGATTAAAGCTTGAAATCATGACTACTTAGGGGCGTGTCCATTTGATTGACAGGTAGTAGATGAGCCGTCAGCACTAGCGACTTGCTGGCAGAGAAGACCTCATCCTCAGACTCACGTTAAAAGTTACAGCCAAGAAGGAAGACTTAGCAGAGTCGCTCAACTCAAGCCAGCACACGTCTGAGCCAGTGCTAAAATGACCCTTTAAATGAAATGTCAGAGTCCCACCATCTCTGTGGTCAGAATACGACATTTGCAACTTGTGAGTGCCGATTTGGTCTCTTAGAAAAAATTGAGCTGATGCAGCAGGATGTTCACAAGCACCTGCTTCCAGTTAGTGAGCTGACCATCAGCAGAGGGTGCTGTGCATACACAAGAGCTTGATTTCTCTCAGAGCTTTCTTTTGCTGTTGATGCAGCTGCCAGGAATGAACCCACCATAAACATGATGGGCGTCTCACTTGTGTCTTTGGGAGACAGGGTGGACTTTCTCCCTGCCTAATCGAGAAACATGACTCTGTCTCTGTTTAGGTTACATTTGGCTAGATTTTGCTGTGTTGTCCTGAACCACCCTGCCCTGTTCCATGTTGCCCATCTCACTTTTAATCTTTTCTGAAACTGGGCCGACTTAATCCATAACTGAAGATATCAACATAGCTGGATGCAAAGTTTATCGCACAGACCGACCGAACAAATGTGGGGGTGTAGTTATTTATATCAGATCAAGATTGAATGCATCAACAGTCTTGTCTGAAAGTATCTGTAAACAAATGAAGTTTGTGGCTTTAAATGTGGAAATTGCCAAATCACTTTCTATAACTGTTGCTGGGTGCTGTAGGCCTCCATTGGCTTCCAAGGAGGCCCTTAAAGCATCTCTTGTCCAAATTAAATTAGAATGAACTCCTATTGGCTGGTGATGTCAACTGGGACTGGGAAAATGCAGTTTCAGATGAATTCAAACTTTTCTGTAACTCCATAAATCTTAGCCAATTGGTTAACCAACCCACAAGACCCAATCAATCAATCAATCAATCAATCAAAGCTTTATCTATAAAGCGCCTTCCGCCACCCTGTCGGGAAGCCCAAGGCACTGAACATGGTACATGAGAAAAGTTAAGTATGATGAATAAATCGAAAGTAAAAGCAATTCAAATATTACAAAATAAAATAAATAAATAAAAAGGTAAAACATTCTAGAAGACAAATGGGTAAAACAAGGGATAAAGAGACCAATGAAAACAGGGAAATAAAATCAACATAAAAGAGGGCCAAATTCAAACACGTTCAGGGAACGCCAAGCAGAAGAGGAGGGTTTTTAGGCGACTCTTAAAGACTGGCAGAGATGGGGACAGCCTAACTGAGGGTGGCAACTGGTTCCAGAGTGACGGGGCTAGGACTGAGAAAGCCCGGTCCCCGCGAGTACGACACCTAGAACGAGGGACCCAATCTTAAAGAGTCCTGATAAGTCCACCTTGACTTAATTTAACAAATGTCCCTCATAAATTCTCACCTTTAGGTGTTTTCTGCAATGACTTGAGTGATCATCGTGTTGTTGCCACTTGCAGCACAAAAATGCCTAAATCTAAAATTCTAAACCATACTTCATTTACAAGAGAAATCTTAAACAATTCTGTGAACAAGCTTATCATAAAGATTTGTCTTTGGCTAATTGGAGGCAAATAGTTTTGTTACCAGATGCTGAGCTAGCATGGGCATTCTTCAAGGAGACTTTCATAGAAATTGTAAAGCATGCCCCCTTCAGGAAACTCAGAATCAAAGGTGGAGAAAATCCCTGGTTCTCCCCCGAACTGTCAAATATTATCCATCAGCGTAATGTGTGTGTGTGTGTGTGTGTGTGTCTGCTCTGTCTTCTCCATCCCCAGTTAGTCGTGGAGGATGGCTGCTTATACTGAGCCAGGATTCTCTGGAGGTTTCTTCCTGTTAAAAGGGAGTTTTCCTCTCCACTGTCGCTGCATGCTTGCTTAGTATGAGGATGTATAGTCACTGACACTAGTCAGTGACTTGATGCAATTTGCTGGGTTCCTTATATAGGAAACGTTATTTCTGATTGGCTTAATGAACTGTGAATTGGAATGTTTACTATGTGAAGTGCCTTGAGACGACTCTTGTCGTGATTTGGCGCTATATAAATGAACTTGAATTGAATTGAATTAATGTGGCATGGGCCAAAGCCAGAAAAGGTAATAAATGTACAACTCTCATCAAAGAGGCCGAATCAGACCATTACTTATGTCACAACTGAGAACCTAAATAATCCAGATATTTTGGAAAGTGATTAAGTCTTTATCTGTCAACTTAACTTCTCATGCTCTTCCAAAATTTGTCCTAAACAGCTCTGTCCCAGTTTATGGTAAAACTGAGGTTTTAAACAGTTTTAACAAGCATTTGATCTCATCTGGTTCAGTGTCGACTTCTACTGGAACACACTCCTCTGTCCCCCTGCACCGATTCCCAAATGACCCCTGGTGTCTATTTTAACTTTGTTCCGTTTACTGTTGAGCAAGTGCATCGAATTATTAGAACTCTGGATCCCAGAAAACCCTCTGGTCCAGACATGATAGAACTCTAATGGCTGCTGATTTCATAGCAGAGCCTCTTATGGCTCTTTCTAATCTTTCTATCAAAAACAAACAATACCATCAGTTTGTAAGTCTGCTTTCGTGTCTCATTCACTAAAAGGTGGCGACCCAGCTCTATTAACACATTACAGACCAATATCTAATCTGTGTGTCCTGGCAAAACTTCTAGAGACCCTAGAAAGTGAACAATTGAAAGACTTCTTGTAGTCAAATGACCTTCTCTCAAGTCTACAATTAGGTTTCAGAAGAAAGGCTCAGCACCATCACTGCAGCTACAAAGGTGATCAATGACATTCTTGTTTGCTCGTGATAAAAAGCAGTACTGTGCTTCACTTTTTATTGATCTGTAAAAGGCCTTTGACTCTGTAGACCATGCTGTTTTAAAAAAAGCTTCTCTGTTTAGGATTGTCTGAACATGCAATCTCATGGTTCTGTAATGAAAGTAGCAGTGGGCAGCACGGGCAGAATATCTTGCCCTCCAGACAGAACCTGAAGACACCACCAGGCAACGACTTATAAAAGACACACTTTATTGCACAATCAATAATAAAACACCATAAAAGAACCCTGTAATAAAACACTATGGCCCGAGCCCTCTCTCCTAAAACCAACTGTCCAGCATGAGTCACATAAGCAGCGGTACTTAGCTGTCACGGATGGTGTGACCCCCCTCCCCGGGGTCTGAGCTTCCAACGCCGTCCAACGCCGTCCAACGCCGTCCAACGCCCCGGGGTGTAGCTTGCGAGGACGGCGGGTACATCCACAACATAAGTCCACTGCCAGAGTCCGTAGCGGCAGATGTCGGCGTGGCCTTGGCATCACCTATGCCCAGCCCTTGCTGTCTAAAGAAGGCGACCAGCCTTCCCTCCTGACGCTGGAACTCTAAACACCCGTTCAGCTATCTTCGTCGCCGGCAGCCCTAACCGGCTGCGAACGACCCCACCCCCCAAAGTCCGATGCCACAATGACAGGTCGACCACGCTCACCTCTCAGCAGACCTGTCACCTTTTTATCCTCCCTGGCCTCGTTATCCATAACGAGGACCAGCTGGTGTCCAATCACCACACCCTCGGAGCTCGGCAGCTTCCGTCTTCTGTCCATCACAGTTCTCTGACTACTTGAAGGACATAACTCAATGCGTTAAATGTGATGGGTTGTCCTCTGAATTTTTGAGTGTCTACAAGGGAGCACCACAGGGTTCAGTTTTGGAACCCCTCTTGTTCATTATGTATATTAACGACATAGGACAAAACGTGTCGGATGCTAAATTAGCACTTTTACGCCGATGACACAATCATTTACTGTTTTAGAGCATCCCCCACTAAAGCTGTTGAATTAATAACAGAGAGCTTTTAATGAGGTCCAACTAACACTTCTGCAGTTAAAACTGGTCCTCAATGCTGACAAAACTAAGCTAATGTTGTTTTCAAACTCTAAAAAAAGACCTCTAAGTAGTGGTAAGTAAGCGTCCCGAAGCGCAGAAATCTGACTCCGCAGTACAGCCTAACAAAGGTTACACACACAAAACATTTACAACAAAAACAGATACAGGCAGACCTCAAGAGCAGCCATTTGAGGCACTCATCTCAGTTAGACAGAAAAAGATGACCTTCTTTGTCCACCAGTCCACCAGGAGGTTGGGACATTAGTACACCTTCATTTATAAGGCCATGCTTGGATCACTACCCACCTACATCTTGTAACTTAATCTCATGGAGAAGTGTAACTTCTCACAGTCTGCGTGCAAATGACCAATTGTTCCGTTTGCTCGCACCGAACTGACTTTCGTTCACTCTGCTCCTTCTGCATGGAACAAGCTGCAGGAAAACTGGAAATTAATCAAGTTTATCTGCTTGAATACATTTAAAACCAGACTGAGAGCCCTTCAGGCGGATTCCCTGTGTTGTAACTGCCTCCTGTAACTTTGTACATAACATGTCTGTGTAACTGAAACATTTTGTAACTAACTTTTGCTGCTTCTTTACCAGGACTCCCTTGAAAACAAGGTTTTTAATCTCAATGGGATCTTTTCTATTGGGTTCTGTTTCAGAACTGAGTTTCAATAATAACGGTATTATAATTCCTGTATACTCTAATTCCAGTATACAACACTAATAGGTCCTGCAAGGGTTTGCAAAGTGCAGTGAGAGGGAAGGAAAATGGAGATGCACAGATCTTAATATGCTTAAAGGGACTTTTCGGACTTTTGAATTTTTATGCTCGCAATTGCCCCCTCAGGCCAAAAGCGTAACGGCAGCTTCAATAGTAGGCTCGTGCATGAGGCGCACATGCTGTACGTGCACACTCCTTAACGAAAATAACAGCTGAGACAGTCCCATGTGTGTGTGTGGCCCGGAGGACAGAGGACAGGAGAACGCGCAGCTAATTAATTAAATAATTTGGTTCTGTACCTTTCTCTTCAGCACAGCCGACAAAGGTTTATGATGGGTCAGTCCTCCTGCATGCTCAGATCATTCCCTTCCCTTGCTTGAAAAATTGTTCCAAAATGAAAGTTGAACCCACATCTTTTTTATCTGTGAATTCAATGCCGTTCAGCGAGTCTCAAATAAAAATTTGGGCATCTTACTGTAAAAAAAAAAAAAGTACCACAGATGTAAAAAAGAAACTCTAAAATGTTTACACCCAGAATCGAAAGCCAGGTCTTCTGCATGTGAGTCAGTCATCTTACAAGGTGAGCAACACACCAGCAACATTCCTTGTATCTGTAACTTTTATATCCTTGATGACAGCTGAAACGTCAATCCAAAGAACGGTTCGGAGCGAAAATGGCTATTTTGTTGCTAATTTGCAGGAAATATCTAGAAGAAAGTTCTACAGAAAGTAGCTAAGGGTCCTCAGAAATGTAGCTAGCTTTGTCACTAGGCGTTAGGAACAGCGACAAAGTGGCACTGCCTCTCTCTCTGCTGCTAAAGCTACGGATAGCAAATGCTACGGGCGATGCCTGAGCGTGAACGCGCATGAAGCAGCCTGCTCGACCCGAGCATCTCTCTTTTTCTGTGATTTTACAGAAAAACAGGCAATCACAGTAAAAATGCCAGGGCTCATTCTACAGGACCAGGGCATTGCAGGAGAATGTATGAAGAAGACATTTATTATTTCTATACATGTTTTGGCTGTCAAACTTCCATAATGCCCCTTTAAAAAATTACTACAAATACTAAAGTTCATATTTATAAGTCAGATTTTATTGTGTTAATCAAGCAAACATAGGAGAACATCAAAGAATAAACAATAATGAAATGTAAGAAGACAACAGGGCAGTATCAGTCCCAGATGAATCAGTTTTTAGTGAAAATAGTGTCAGATTTTGATTTATTTTAGCAACTTAGCAGTTGCCATGGAGGTCATGGTAGTCATGGTGATGGAGGGAACAGTAATGTCTTTGAATACAGGCTGTGTGGTTCCAGTGTAGGATACTCTGTTTTCACTGAGGGTTCCAATAATCATCTGTCTCATCTCTCTGGTGGCATCACCACGCACAGAAAGCAGCGCCTGGATGTGCTCCTCCCTGTGAGAAAGAGGAAGGAAAAATTTAAGAGCCACAAAAACAATAAAGATTTATATAGTAGTTAACTAATAATGCTAGACGTCACTGTGGTGGTAATCAAGGACTACATGGACAAAGGTGATTTGCTGTGGTGACCACCAAAGAGATAAACCGAAAGAGAGAAGTTTGTTTAAAAGACAGTGTATGAAATTAGTAGTGTTGAATGATGCTCTATCACAGGAAATACCCAGTATGCACACGTTACAAGTGTCTGTTGCACTACCTTTGCTGTTAGGTTTCAAATATGTCCAAACTGCAAACATTTTTGCTCTCCTGAGGCAACACGTTAGCTCCGTATTAGCCTGCTAGCTAACAGTTACATGATGATGTCTGATTTGTTGTCATGCTAACAGCAAACTTTTACAAGCTGATAAATCTGAAAGTACGTGACAGGCATGGTCAAAACACCCATCATTACTTTTCATTTAAATATAAGTACAACATATGTGCGATCCAGGGCGTAAGGCAAAGCGGATTAGAAGATAACTCTTTTAGACCCATTGACTTGCTTTCATTTTTTTCGTTCTTCCAGGGACCCATGAGCCGACCGGAAAGGGAGGAGACTTAGGCTCCCTACTGAGCCTTTTATAACAAGAGTCTGACATCTCAGTCTCATAATTTGCACTCTGTAAAGCCTGATTTATACTTCTCCATCTGCCTCGGTGCGGAGACGCAACGCCATTGTGTCGGTGTAAGGGCTCTCGATGGGCTCACATAGTGGCAAAGACATGCCCACATTTTTAAGCATCTGTCAAAAGTGACGGAGACCAAAAACTTGTGATTGGTCAGGACGCCGCTTCCTGTAAATTTGTCAACAGCTCCATTAAAAAGTAAAAAGATATTTTGCGGCAGACCCAGAACAGATTGAAGAACGCGTCGTGCAAAAAGTCCCAAAATTTGAACGTTTATTCACCCGTGACTGAAGGAGTACATAATACGAAGCAAACGTGAACGGAAATTATGGGAAACGTGGGTTTAGAGGTGGTGACCGCATGAAGAGGTGGAGGAGAATGCAGGACAAATTTGTCCGTGTTGAAAAGTCTGAAATAAATAAAAAAACATTAGTAAATACACTATCGTGGTCCGGATTCACGAGTGTTATGGTGGCAGGATATCGCAGAAAATCACTACGCCCTCTTTTGCCCTGGCAGGGAATTGCTTTGCAACAATTTGCGTGTGAAAACCTTTCTGACACTCCGTGTGCGTCTCTCTGTTGAAGAGCTAATTGAGAAGTGTAAATCAGGCTTAAGCCACATAGAGCCGACATCACTGCCCTGACCAAGTGTGTGACCAACTACATGAACTTCTGTGTGGACAACATCATCCCAACAGAACCATGAGGCAACAAACCATGAATTATCAACTACTTAACAAGAAATAAGTAGTGGACTACTACAGAGCTTCTAGGGCTGATTGGACAAAAAGGATGCTTTAGAGAATGGACTATCCTGATAATCCTTTTCACAAGACAATAATTCAACAAACAGTGTGTTTGGTCAGAAACCAAACAGCACAATTAACTTAAGAGGTCATTTGTTTCTGGTATTGTTTAAAGATTTTTTAAAGGAATTTAGGTTACAATGCCTTGCACGAGTATTTCCTACCTCTTTAAACTTATTTCCAAAAATTCATTCTGATGAGTTCCTTGGTCTTTGTGATGCTAATTGTTTAATAATGTTCTCTAACAAACCAATGAGGCTAGATTACAAATAGGCGAACTCTATTAAATAATTAGGTGACTTCTGAAGGCAAACGATTACACTGAATGTTATTTAGGGGTAATACAGTGGGCTGAATACAAATGCATGACAAACATACAAGTTGTCTTAATGCTGTTGTAGTGGAAACAATGACCTTAACTAGCAGCAGAAAACAGTAGTGACTATACCCACCTGATATCAGGATATTTGGAAACCAGAGTGGTGACCTCTAAGAACAACAGAGTGGGGTCTGTCAGCTTGAACACTTCAGCTATAGCAGAGATGGCCCCACAAAGACGCTCTGTGTCTTCGCCCTGCATAGAAGAATCAAGTTTACCTATTATAGCTACACGTATACAGGTCACTAGATGTGTCCTCAGGACTGCACTTGACCTGCTCAGTCACTGCACTGCTGTGGAATCAAAAACCAACATTAAGACAAACAGAAATGCTCAAACCTCACAACAACACAGTTGGCTGCTTTTATACCAAGCATAATGTTACTGCAATGTCTTATTGTTGATTCAATATATTTAGCAAGATCCACCAGCTTTAGTTTTACAGACCAGAATTGACTAACCCAGTAATGGTTTCCTCAGCGGTGGGAAACAGAGCTAGGGTAGGATCACGTTCCAACAATCTGACTTGGCCGTTGAACCATTTGCTATTATTTCATAGCAAATATCTGCTGTCTGGAGAACAGGCCCACCGTTTTGGGCCTTCATTAAAATTTGGAATAACTTACAAAAAAGACCATTTTCAATTTTTTTTTAAATCAGCCTAATTGAAACTGCATGCCTGTCAGTTGGCCTGGACACGACTATGCACATGTATGTGCCCGTTTGGTAGAATCATGTGTTTTTGTAAGAGATTTCCACCGTGAATGTCACCAATAATGGAGCAAGAACGTTTTCATATGTGTGAAATGATGTGTAGTCTGTTAAGAATGTACTGATTTGTTACATCGTTTGTATGTTTTTGTATACATATGTGTTTGTGTTACTTTATTTATTTATCATTGACTTATTTGATTGTTCATTTATTTTTTCTTTAGATATTTTTTGTTTTTGGCCTATTGATATTACGTTCACATGGAAAACGTGGTTTATGTTATCTTGGCCTTTTATTCTCATTGTAAATTTCTATGGAGGACTTATTTAAATATGGTTAATCTCAAGTGCTTCTCATCATCCCAAAATATAAATGTATAAATAAACAAATAAACAAACATGTGCATTGCATGTTTCTATTAAGTTTTGAAGTTTCTAGTAGACGAATACAACATGAAGGAAGAGGATACTTTAGTCCTGTCAGAGAAGGGCCAAAATTTGACTCTAAAAAATGTATAGGTGCATTCCAAATGATTCAAACATTCTGCCTCATCTCACCTCCATTTACAACACCCAGAGTTGCTATGTAATAGAAAATCAGAAGTGCTGGATGTATTTGGTGCTCAGCTGGCTCCTTTTACTTTTTATTGTGAATGAATGAATAACTACTGCTCTGTTTTAATGATCTTTATTGGAGTAGCTCCCCACAATCGGATCCTGGTCTCTATTGAGCTCATTTCTATTTTACACAGCCATTCATTTCAAATCTGTCAATCACATTTTTTCACAAAACAAAATTAGAGCATAGCCTACATGCAACAACCTGAGCTTACAGCGTCACTGATCTGATGTTGACCATTTATTGTTTTTTTTCTACAGCTTTTCCTATCTCTGAAGTTGTTTTTTTTTCTGAGTCCTTAGCTGGACATGATCTAACCCTACCCTAAACCTTAGAAGCACAAGAGAATAGGTCTGGTCCTTAAACTCAAAAAGCATGAACAAAAGTTGCAGGTTCAGGGTTGATGAACACAGTTTTCCTTTCCCTAGAGGTGGTTTTTCTAGACTTTCTAGATCTGAATGTCTTCTTCAACAGCACACCAGCCACCTTACTCCCATATTTAATATATTCAAATCTCATCTATAGCAGCAGATTTAACCACAGGGCACGCACAGCCACATGTACTATGGAACAACAAACAGCAGCAGGTAAAAACTCACCGCTGCCAGTTTCTTGAAGAGGAATTTGAACTGATCAGCTTCTTTGATCATCCTTTCGGCTCCTTCTTTCCTCTCATCGGCATTTTTAAAAGTGATTCTCTTCTGCATGACTGCTTTGATGTACTCTACCACCACCCTACGATGGGCCTCGTTGGTCATCTCCTACACAGAACACAGTCCAGCAGGTTAGTTCTATCTAGGGGTGCAACGGATCATCCCTGATCCGCACGAATCTCACTCCACGGTTCGGCATGCACATGGTCCGAGGAGACACGTGAAGGGCCGAGGAGCCACCTGTTCAATCCAAACAAGAAAGCACAGCGGTGGTCATGGCGGAGGAGAAGAGGTGCTTGAAAAACCACCTGCATCGTCTCATGTATGAAAGCATTTTGGTTTCCCTGTAAAAAACGATGATGATGCAAACTGCATAAACGAACACACACGCACATGCCTCCAGTCTGACAGCGCAGCGCAGACGTACCTCCAATTGCTGTGAAACAGAAGGGGGGGGGGGGGGGCATGCAAAATGCTGGGCCAATTATTACATTAACGAGGTTGGACCTATAAATATCTGTAAAAGACGAGGAAAGAATACAAATAGTGCTTCAAAAGGGTGAGGGAATTAGTGAAAGCAGGAAACGCAGGGAATGGGCGTGTCTTAAATGGCAAGCTGTTTTGACATTTAATCAGCAATCTGACCTCTCTGTAATTCCTATTTTTATAGCAGGTTGCAAATTGAGCAGAAAAATGTTGCACAAGTGTTCTAATAAATAAAGAGAGACGAGCTATTTGTCTTTTCTTTTTCTTTCTGCTGATCTGAAAACTGATCCAATCCGTGACTGAAAACCGTGATGTGACCTAAACTGAGTTTTTTGATCCACTGCACCACCGTCACACCTACAGAAATGGGTTTGGTTGGTCAAATGTCAGAGGGAATAAACATTTCACATAAAACAGTTGAAAAATCTCTTTTGAATGTTTCTTGCAGATAGTGATTCTGTCTCGTCTCACCTGATTGAACGGTTTTTTAATTTTGTTGAAGTCATTGAAGTAGTCCTCCACTGTGACGCAGATAGTATCAACTGCATGAGAACCCGTCAGCCACTTCCTGGTCAACAGTTCGCTCAGGTGATGCTGTTGGAAACATTATCAAAATTCATCAGAAAAGGAAACTAGAAAGGAAACTGAAGGCTTCAATATCGGCATCGTATCGGAAGTGAAAAAGTTGTGTCGGGACATCCCTACCTACTGGTTACTCGTATATTGCAGCGTTCGGACGTGTTGTATTAATTTCGGGGGGACACACACAAATGACGCTTTAAATCAACGCGAGTAACACGTGGCAGCCATTTTAAACACACGTTTGCATTGTCAAACAGCAAGTATCTAATGGCCCTTAGTGTCTACAGAAGTGATTCATCACTAAATTAAACAAACCAGTTGTCTTCATGATCTAAAACATGCAGGAAACGTGCTGGAGCCAGACTGCAGCGCCAGGTGTGTCAGCTAACATTTTTCCCGCCAGCAACAACAGACAGCTACAGCTACAGCTTATAAGTCTAATCCTCCCATATTCCAGTCAGAATTGACAAAGCTCCTTAAATGAGAAGCAAAACGTCATCAAGAAACCAAAGAAGTCCAGTTGCCATCATCGGAACGCTTTGAACCTGTTGAACAAAGATTTTTGATTCCAGACCTGCGTATTAAAAGAAAGCAGTTCTGGATTACCTCTCGATCTGTGTGTTAATAAAACCAGGCTGGGAGGTCAAAGAAAGGCTGTGTGTGGGTGAATGTGTGTGTGTGATTTGACTCCTGATCTCCTAATGTCGTAAATAATGGATGTGCTTCACGACTCTGCTGTTTTTGGTGAATATATGTTGTGGCTTTAGCCTTTTACTGACCTCTGTGGGGTTAGTCCAGAATGCAATAAAGATTCAGGGTAGACGCTGCGTCTGGGATATGCTTATGGTTGGCTTAAGCAGACCCCTGGAGAAGACAAGGAAGGCTCGCCTCGCCCTGTCGATTGATGACCACAAGCCTGAAGAACACCAAGCAAGAGACGCTGGGAGGAGTCACAAGGCTGAGCAGAGTGCTTCCTGAAGCGGGAGTTGTCATGGAGACGAAGAGGAGACAAGAAGGAGGGGGAAGTAAAGTAATAAAAAGGGGGGCCCAGGAGAGTTCTGAGTTCTGGGAGAGTTCTGTACGAGTTCGGTGGAGCTCTGTGTTTTTTCTTACCCGCTGCGTTGGGGTGATTCTGTTTGGATTCATCTTTTTTCATCCTATTAAATAAAAACCTTGGTTTCTTACTGTAAGAAACTTAAAAGGATTTTGGGTGCCTGGGGTCTCCGTTGGTGTCGTGTAACCAAAAAGGTGAGATGCTGGTTACTTGTTATCCCACTCCAAGAGGTTTAGGCCAGTCATTTTAGAGTCATTAACCTGAGCAATACATGAGCTGCAGGTGACTAAAAGATGTGTTTGGGTTTGAACCGAGTCTTCCTTTCAGCTGCAAGCAGTCTGTTGGCTGGGATCAGAGTCTAGGTCAGGGGTGTCAAACATGCGGCCCGCGGGCCGGATCTGGCCCGCAAGCGGGTTAAATCCGGCCCATGAGATGGTTGTGTAAACTTTATTTTCATACTTTACAATGTAGAGTGAAAATAAACTTATCTTTGTGAGCAAGTTTCCTCTGTAATGAGTATAAATAAAACAAAGCTGCGCTCAAGGCTCACACAAGAACTTGAATCACTTCCTGAAGTTGGCCGCCACTCAGGATGTGACTTCTGATGTTGATGTGCTGGTGAAGCTAAAAGATGTAAAGTAAAATGAGTCAAATATACTTTAAGTGCTGCATGAAACTCATCTAGCCATGTGATCTGTAAGCTCTTTGAATCACTAAGGAATTTTTTTTTAATTTTATTGATTATTTTTTTCAAATTTTCAAGTACACTTCAGGTGTTGTACTTGTACTACACTGTCCTCAGGCTCCAGCCTCGTTTTATATTGATTGTATTAAAACAAAGAAAACAAAGAAAACAATCTGAAGTTTTTTTTTTTATTTACCGGTCCGGCCCACTTGGGACTAGATTTCCCTCAATGTGGCCCCTGAGCTAAAATGAGTTTGACACCCCTGGTCTAGGTTAATGGTGATCGCTGATCAGCTCCTATAGTGTGCAGGCAGTCATAGAGAGCGACTGAATATCACGCCCACGCATAAATAGAAATACAAGTCAACCCTGAGACGTAACATCTGTTAAAGAGTCAGCTAGTGTGGGAAGATGGCTTGTGACAGAACCCCAACGTACAGGCACCAAGATGGAGGGCAACAAGTATGCCCACCCCTGCTGGGCGCCTCTCAGTGGGAGCAACTCCAGAGTGGTAGAAAGTCCAACCTCTCTCGAGGAAACCAGAGCCAGAGCCACACGTTGAGGTAAGTTTAACTACATCTAACTGGAACTTCTCAACCTCACACACCAACTCCGGCTCTTTCCCCACCAGACAGGCGACATGTATCGAGAGCTAGCTTTTATAGCTGAGGATCAGACCACCAAGGTCCCTGCCTTCTGCTACCACCCGACACACAATGTACCAAACCTCTTTGGCCCCTCCCACGATTGGTGAGCTCAGGGGAAGGGGGACATACGTCTCCTCTTCAGGCTGTGCCCCGCCGGGCTCCATGGGTAAAGTCCCGGCCATCAGGCACTTTCTAAAGTTCCCCAACTCCAGAGGGGGGCCCTGGTGACCCACGTACGGGCGACGCAAAATCACTCCCAACTCCCTCAGAGGCCTTTTTTTTTTTTTTACAAAACACTACAGGAAATAAAGTCCTGAAAAAAAAGTTGGACATAATTGAGTTGTGTTACCTCCAGATCCAGGAAGACTTCGTCTAACAGGAACTGGCAGCCCTCCTTGGCCACCTCACCTAGTGTCCTGTCAATAGCAGCGTCGCTGTCGCTGAGCTCCGAGGACCGGGAATACTTCCTCTTCAGACTGCTGATGGACTCTCTGAATAAAAACACGCAACAAAACAATCACCACACCTCTACCTGGATCTGATAGAAGCAGCAACACTAAAGCCAAGGCGGCAAACTCAAGGCAAGGTTGCTAATCAGCACAAAGCTTTACTTTCACCTGTAACGTTCTAACTCATTTACACCTGCCCCCCAAAAGACTCTATGTCTCCTTCATGGTCCCAGAAATACACCAGTCTGTCCAACCTAACGCAACTGGAGATAACATCCTGGTAAACCCAAGGCACTAGAAGGTGTAAATAAGAACTTACTTGAATGTCTGGCAGTTGTTGATGATGGCTATCATGTACTGTACATAACACTGAGGCAGCTGTCTGTCTTTCAGGTGCTCCTCCTTGTAGGCAACAGCTTCCTCCCGATATCTGCAAGCACACACACACACACACACACACACACACACACACACACAATCGTGGCTTGTAAATCATCTTCTCAAACCCCAAACTGAGTCTCGATGGATGTCTGCTCATACTGAGCCAGGATCTGCTGGAGTTTTCCTCTGCACTGTCGCTACATGCTACCTTAGCATGGGGATTGCTGTAAACTAAAGTCTCTGACACAACAAGTCAGTGACTCGATGCAATCTGCTGTGTTTCCTTACGAAACTTAACTTGGTGCACTGATAAGGGATGTTCAGTTGGAATGTTTACTTTGTTAAGTGCCTTGAGACGACTCTTGTTGTGATTTGGCACTACGTAAATAAACGGAACCAAAATCGACTTTATCTTGGGCTTGTTTTATCTCCGGTTCTATTCTTCTGAACATGTCCGACGTGTTGGCTGAAGAAGAATAGAACCGGAGATAAAACAAGTTCTGGTTCGGAGCAAGAGTTTAAAAAGAAGTTAGCGAGATCCAGCATTTATTTTGGTAACCAACTTCCGCTTATTGGCAAGCGAATTAGCATATTGGCTAAATGTTTAAGTACCAGCTAAATATTTATTTTCCACAATGTTATTTAGCTCCACACTATATTTTATATTTTTGGGTCAGACTTAAATATTTATTTCCCAAATATTGATTTTGCAAACTAAATGTTTAGCTCCAAAATAAATATTTAGCTGGGATCTAAATATTTATTTCGGAAAATAAATATTTAATTTACAAATTAAATATTTAGTTCCAAAATAAATATTTAATTAGTAAATTAAATATTTAGTGAATTAAATAATTATTTTACAAACTAAATATTTAGATCAGACCTAAATATTTAGTTTGCAAAATAAATATTTAACTACAAATTAAATATTTAGCTTGCTAACTAAATATTTATTTGGAAACTTTAACATTTATAAATGTATGAATAACATGATGAAAATATGACTTCGAAAAAGTGAACTCCCAATTTTTTCTCTTATGATATGCTAAATAACCAAAAATATTGCTGTTAGATTGTGACTGTTAGACTTTACAAATGGCATCCCATAGCATTTGCGTCATCAAACAGCAAGTATATAACAGCCCTTAGTCATTCACCCATTCACACACTGAAGATAATGAGCTACAATGTAGCCACAGCAGCCCAGGGGCTCACTGACTCATTTCCTCAATCCATCTCTGAGTTGGAGGACATTCAATAACTGATTGTGTTTTACCAAACTAATTCAATTGGACTTAATTTACAAATGAATGAATTCTGAATGAATGAGGGGCGAAGACCAAAGTCTCAAGATGTATAAGAACAAATACCTGACGAGGAAAGAGTGCATCTGCTTCAGGCAAAGCTTTAGAACCTGTTCTTTGAAGTCTCCATCGATCTGTGCAGCTACCTGAAGATTTTGTTCAAACATCTAGAAAAGAGTTGATGGACCACAGGGAGGGAGGGAGGGGAGAGAGAGAGGAAAGACCAATCATGGGGAAGACAAACTGACATTACTGCATGCAAATTCCTTGGTTCTGAGCCAAACTAACAACAGACACCCTGCAGGTTCAGTTAATCAGGGTTCTGCAGCTAAGTCGAGAGAACAGAACTTTGTGTTTCACCTGAAAGACGATGGCTGGCAGCGTGGTCTGGTAGAACCCATCCTGGTCTGCCTCAGGCTCGCTTTCCTTCTGCCAGTCCTTCTTATCCGTCTCCAGGGCCTTCCTCAGCCAGCCTGTTATATTAGACTGGAAACAAGCAATCCATCAAACGCACGCGCACACACACACACACACTGAGCGCCTTGTACGGCTGCTCTCGTGGCCCGCCTGTATCTGTTTTTGTTCTCCATGTCTGTGTCTAACCTTGGCCTGTGCTCTGGGACGCTGGGGCAACAACAATAAAGATGATCTTGGCTCTGATATTACTGAAGCATTCGGGGGTTCTTGCAGAAAATACTTTTACAGACCCCAGAATTAAACTTCAGCATTAACTTTGATGGTTCATCGATGCATACTGGGAGGCCTCACAACGGCCCGGCGTCACCGTCGACAGTGACCTTGATCTAGCATAAATAAACGCCGAACCTCGGTTCTGGTCTTTAAAATCACTGATCTGTGGGTCCTCGGGTCAAATAAAACCAGTTTAGTGTTTTCACAGCAAAGCCGGGCGGACACTGTGTGACTTTTTCACTTTTTTTGAGCCGATTTTCCAGTCGTGCGAGAATCCACGAGATCGGGGCGAGTTTTGCGCCGAGCGTCGTGTAGTGTACAGGGGGTTTCGAGAGGCCATTAACACCACGTGACCAGCTACCGATCAGCAATCGTGAGCTCGCACGGACTTCTGGCGTGTTTGATATTTCGCTCGTCCCTCGTGAGGGTATCGCACTGTTGAAGCGGCGCTGCGAGCGGCTGCGACCCAAAAGTACCAGAACCGCCCACGACGCATGCGCAGTCATGCATCAACACCGCTCGCCCGCTATTTTCCTAACAACACACGTTGTTCGTTTTTATTTCTACGTGTTTTTTACTCACAAAGATTGTCAAGAAAGCGTGTTTGTCGTGTTCATGTCAAATTAAACTGATCACAAAACACAGATTTACTTTCTTTATTTCGTTTTCCTCATCCAACCCCCATAAATCCCTGTGTGTCCCCCTGCAGCACTCCCGAAGGACAACAGGCAAGACAAAAAAAGTCTGACGTGTTGAATAAAAACTGCTATTTTTAGCATATTTTTAGGGCCGACGTGTTGCTACCAGACGTACAGTGTGAGCGCATGACTCGTGAGATCTGCCCTGCGAGGAAGTCGTACCGTTTGAGCTGAAGCTGAGTGCTACGAGTGAAAAAGTCTCACAGTGTCCGCCCGGCTTAAGAGACCAACTCTCATACTTCTGAGGAGTAAATATGCGAGTCGAGCAAACTCTGAATCAAATAAACGTAGTTGTGTGGGTCAGCTCTCGGTGTGCGGACTCAACCCTGAGGAGCTGAATTAGAAAGTTTAAGTCTAAGGTTGTTTTGTTTCTCTGTATCAGATTTGTTTATTTATGATTTCTCTCATGTTTTTTTTTAATATTTAAGCTATTACCCATCCACCCATGGTGTGGCACTCACGGTAAAAGTCTTCACATATTTGCTGAGAAGTTCATTCACCACATCCTGCGGCAGCAACGGCTCCAGCTGATTTATGTCACACTCCGAACTGAGATCTGGATGGCCCATCATCTCAACACTGCAACACACACACGGCTGTTACATGCGCCGCAAGAACCCACTCACACACACACAACCCACCCCTGCAACATTCTTTAAAGAGCAAGTCACCCCCAAATCACATTTTTTTTGCTGATAAACTATATAAAGGAGTGTCTAATCATGCTACAGACACGTGTAGTCAATAATTTGGCAGTTCAGTGCATCTTGGTTAAAATTCAAATATTCTGCCTAAAATTGTCAGTGTTGCGCCGTCGTCAGGGAAAAATTCTGCACTGTATTTGAATTTAAATCTGCCACCGCTATTGGCTAAGAGGTATGCTATGATGTCATCTGGTACATTATGATGTCAAAATGCCATTGTGAGCCTGTGTGTGTGTATTTGTTAGCGGCTCCGCCCTCTTGGTCTGCCAAGCAACAGCATTTGTTGCATTTTTCAAACATGAAGTGGAAGTGAAGTAAGTTTCTTGTAGGGGGTGACTTGCTCTTTAAAGCCAGGGAAAACCCCGGATGTCTGAAACAGATGACACAGCAGATCCGGGGTCAGTCAAAGGGACTACCACAAACCGCAGCTTTGACAATCACGTGATCATCGCTGCGTTTGATCTCGATGGGAAAACGATAAATCGTTCAGCCCTGAACAAACGTTCGTCACAGCGAAGTTTGTGACAGCGGTGAAGCTGGACTAGTCCTAACAAACACACCTTTTGTACGTGTTGAGGACCCAGGTGAGAAGCGACACAATCTCATTGGCCTCCAACTCTTCTGAGGCCAGCTCCTTCACACGGCTGGACACGGCATTATGATAGAGGCTGAAGAACCTGGAACACACACACACACACATACACACACTCGTGGTAGCCTTCTACTGAACATCTGTTCCTCCTGAACCCTACGGAGACATTTCCTAGTTCACCTCTAAAACCCGGTCTGCTGTCGGGGATGCTGCGCTTACATGCACTGGTGAATCGGTTACCTGTTGAAGGTGTTGTAGTGTGGCGGGAAGCACTGCACCATCAGGTTTTGGACAACAATAAGGTCGTCCAGAACATATTTTCTTGTTATTTCCAACAGACGGACGAGCCACATTTTATCAGCCTCTCTGGTCACCGCCTGGGTGCCTTCAATGCGTGTGCCGACTGTCCCCTCCAGCACCTGCACCAAAAACCCACTCGGGTCAAATGTAGAGAAATCCACCAGCAGGAGACAGAACAGCATGATGCTTCGGTAAAACTCTACATCCGGGTTCTTCTGTGATGTAAATGAGAGAGAGAGCAGAACATCAAAGCCTAGAGTCCTGCACAGAAAGGTTTATGACCTCTGACCTCAAACATTTTGTCCTTCCAGCGTTTAGGCCTCCCAGGAGGAATAAAGCCAGACTGCTTCTTTCGGTCGACCATTCGACGATCGATCTTCTCCTCCCGCTCGATGATGCGAACTACAGACACCAACATGGTGGGGTCGCGGCGAACCGTGACCATGGACCTTTGGAGGACCATCCATAACTGCTTGGCCAGTTCATCAGACAATCCTTGAACCTTTGGAGAAAAAAAACAAAACAAAATATTTTCAAGGTTGAAAACAAAACATGTTTACAGAAATGATTTGGGTTGGAGCTAATTAGAAGCAGGGATCAGGGATACCTAAACGTTGTTGATGTTCATGGAGTAGGATGAGGGTTCAGATTAGGATTAGGGTCAAGTGTTTAGGAGCCTATGATGATATTGTTTATTTCTTTGCACGTCGTCATTCTCATACCAAGTACACATGTTCTGATGTTTATTATACGTTTACTTTCCGTACACACACGTCAACTGTCTCCTGCACAAACCCCCCAAAACAAACTCCTTGTGGGTGTGACCCGAACCATCCCATATTTGTATTGCACGTTTAAACACAGCATGGGAGCTGACCAGAGCGCTGTACAGCAAAACATACAAACAACAAAACAACTGACTCAGCAATAAACCCGATTGCGATCGTGACGTTTCTTCTATTTTGTGACCATCTTTCCACAAAGACAACCTGAGAGACGACGCAGGACAAGTCCTCCCCACACAGCTGGGCTATCGTGTTCTCATTGGCTGTAAGGTCCCACTCATTCTATGGCTCTCTCTTATATTTTTCAGCACGACCTGGCACCTGCTCACAGTGCCAAAACCACTAGTAAATGGTTTACTGACCATGGTATTATGGTGCTCATCTGGCCTGCCAACTCTCCTGACCTGAACCCCGTAGAGAATCTGTGTGATATTGTGAAGAGAAAGTTGAGAGACACAAGACCCAACACTCTGGATGAGCTTAAGCCGCTATCGAAGCATCCTGGGCCTCCATAACACCTCAGCAGTGCCACAGGCTGGTCGCCTCCATGCCACGCTGCACTGAAGCAGTCATTTCTGCAAAAGGACTCCCGACCAAGTATTGAGTACATAACTGAACATAATTATTTGAAGTTTGACTTTTTTTGTATAAAAAACACTTTTCTTTTATGGTTCGGATAAAATATGCTAGGAGATAGGAGTTCTGGGTTTTCATGAGCTGTACGCCAAAATCATCAATATTAGAAACAATAAAAGGCTTGAACTACTTCAGTTGTGTGTAATGAATCTAATATATATGAAAGTCCAATGTTTATTAGTACATTACAGACAATAATGTACTTTATCACAATATGCTAATTTTTTAGAAGGACCTGTATAATAAAACATTTAAAAAAAAATCCTAAACTTCCAATAATATTTGAGATGTGTGTTTTATTACTGCTGATAATGATAACCCCAGCAGGAGGCTGAGGGCTGAATCAGATGCTGCTGTCACCTTAACAGAAAGCAGCAGTTACAGAAGATGAATGAATGAATTCTTTGAGATTTTAAGCGACTCCGCACGTTTCTGTTGACCATCATTACACCAGGATCAGGTGTTACTTTTTGTTTGAATTTAAACAGCTGATCTGAAAGCTTCAGATTTCCAGAGATGACCCGAGGAACTGTTGATGGGATCAACTGAACTTACATCTTCAAAATAGATGGAGATGAGGTGCATGTCGCTGGTGTTCTTGCTGTCCATACGGTACTGCTCGTACATGAGGTCGTCCCGCGAACACTCCAGCTCCATGAGCTTCCTGTGGGCCTGCAGCAGCTCCCCCTGTTCTATCAGCTGCTGGGTCTCCACCACGATCTCCGGGACTGGTGACACGACAAAAACATCAGATCAAGAGATCCACCAATACAAATGCTCAGTTCCAGTTTAAAGTCCAGCTGCTGCATTCTGGACAATGTGTGTGTGATGCAGAGATGATTTATGTAGACCAGTGGTGTGCAGTCTGGGCCAGCATCACCAGTGTAAATCTCGGCTGAAGACTCACTTGTACCGATTGGTTTTTGGACAATGACTCTTAATGTGCTTTTATTGTGTTTTACTGATTGTTCTTGTCTGTATTGTGATGTTGTTTTTTGATTGTTTTGTGCAGCACTTTGGTCGACTCACATGTCGTTTTTGAAACGTGCCTTAGAAATAAAGGTGGTATGGTACACCTACAACTTAAATGATATTTGTTCTATGAAATTTAATGGAATTACTTTCTTTTGTTTTTATTTTCTCATTTTAGGAATGTTTCTTATGGCTGCTACATGTCTGTGGATTTTCACTGTTCCATCCAATCAGATTTCATCTTCTATTGTTGCTAGGGGGGGTCTAATCAAAGCGGCTCATTTGGCTCTCCTGCGTTGTTTGGGGCTGCGGAGGTTGGGGGTGGGTGTGATTGGACCAGACTCACCAGAGAAGATGTTTTTGAGGTTCTCCACAGCAGAGGCCAGCTGACTGTGTTGAACTACAGCATCCTTGACATCTTTTAGGTTCTCGATAGTGTTGATGCTTTGTCTCCAGTCTTTGCTCACATCAGCCAGTGAACTCTGGATGTCCTTGACATCCAGCAGGGCACTGTGCAGCTGGGTCAGTCCTGTTCGAACGCCGTCCAGCTGAGACTGGATTGCTGCCTGGAGGACATCACACACAATCCCTAAACTTGTCACTCACTTGCTTCCTGACTGCAGCACATGATTAAGTAGAACAACACCTCTGAACACAGTAAATACTGGTTCTCCAGAGCACATCAAGCCCCGCCCCCTCCATCTCAACAGCACCTGTCTGTGGACTGGTTACCTTCAGCCTGGCTTCCACGGAGGCCTTCTTACGGGCTTCTCTCCTCCGGTACTGCTCCACTTTATCCAGCTGGTCTGACCTCTGCAGCATCCCAGCAACACGCTGCACTGCAGTGGCTACAGCCTCCCGACTCGTCTCTTCCATGTTGTCCTTAAGCTGGACCAGCTCTGTGGGACTAGCTCTGGGGACTCAATGAGAGTCCTCCTGAAATAGGAGAGAACAGCACATCACTCGGGCTGATGGAAGGGACAGTGGACACAGCAGTCTAACAGCGGGGACAGTGGACACAGCAGTCTAACAGCGGGGACAGTGGACACAGCAGTCTAACAGCGGGGACAGTGGACACAGCAGTCTAACAGCGGGGACAGTGGACACAGCAGTCTAACAGCTGGGACAGTGGACACAATGGTGGACACAAAGGTTTTTGCTGAGGACCAAGATAGCCAGCAGCGACCGGAGCTTTAGGGTCCCTTCTGGATGTGTTAGCTACCACCTTCAGGACCAACATCAGCTTGGAAAACACTTCCATAGAACGCATTCGGTACCGGAACCATAGCAGTTCCTCTCGGTTGTCATTAGCACCGCTATGCTAACCACGGACGGTGAAATGTTTAGGATATTTCGGGTTTATTAAAACAAAACGTCATTAACAATCGAGACAAACTCCTACCTTTAGACGTTCAGGAAAGAACGACGAGACAACAGATACAATTAAAGTTCAAAATCGATAAAGCTAGACAGCCGTTTTGATGTTTACGTTCCACTTCCTGCTTTTGGCTCCGCCCACCAAGGGCTAGATTCTTCTTCTTCTTCTATCGTTTTATGGCGGTTAACAAGCAACTTTTAGGTTTATTACCGCCACCTACCGACCTGAAGTGTGGACTCCTCCACATTTCCCTGACGTCCAACTGGCACCCCCCCTTCCCAGCTGTGGTCCCACCAGACTTTCCCATATCCCCGACACCTCACCGGCACGTGCTCAACTTTGTCCCTGCAACGGTCACACCTCCAAGGGCCAGATTCTCCTTCTCCTTCTCGTTTAACGGCAGCCACCTCCATTGCCTGAAGGTAAATAGCGCCATCTAGCAGTCGGTGTCCTGTATGAGACGTCCATCACCGCCCCGAGGACACATCCTCTACATGACCCAACAAAAGTAACTGGGAAGACAGCAAAACAATAACAGAATAGCTTTGGACCAGGATTTCACCTTAATAGGTGGCATACATTAATTACTATGTTTTATTTTTAACAGTTTGATTCCGGGGTGCTTGTTTTCAACCTTTCTTTGTTTTTCTTGTAAAACCAAGTTTAATCCTTTATTAAACATGTATCCCTATTTTTAATAGTCGTTTCAATGATTGGATGAAATTTCTTCTCTAATATTTCCTTCACCATTTTGTCCACTTATTTTCCCACAATAACTATCCATTTCATCCTACACTGTTTTTTTTTTTTTTTTTTTGCAGCCTGACACACTCAGCATCATGAAACGACAGGAGGAGGAGGAGGAGGTGAGAGGTCACAGGAGGGCAATATTTCAAATATCATAGCTGGTGAAACTGGAAAAATAAGACTATGGTGTAAAAGTCTCTTTATTTCAGTAATCCATTTTAGACTGAGAGGCAATCTAAAGGCTCTCTGCAGGGGTTCTGGATTCAACAGCTGATTAGAGCGTGACACTTTGAGTCTAGAATATCGAACCTTTTCACAACATTCTGATTGATTGAGATTTTAAATGTGGGGCTTTCATAAGTCATTATCACAGTTGTAGGTTTGAAATATCTTGGTTTGCATGATGGGGAAACGTACGCGGATCAGGAGGGTGAGTAACTAAAAGGTCCACTAGTGACAAACGGGACATTCCACAGAAGATTCCCCAGGGTTGATGGGAGTTGTGATGGTCTGAGTCTGACGTCCAGGCCCTTTGTAGTCCAGAGGTTTCAGAGGAGGTCCGTCAGACTTTCTGGAGCGAATAAAATAATAGAACCACAGAAATGAAGGAATTTAAACAAAAATCATCTTCATTTTTAACCGCAGTTTATTTTCTTCTTGGCCGTCAAGGCCACTAGCCTTGTGTTCTTGTTTTTTCCTTTGTCAGCTTATCTACAGGTTGTGTTGCAGAGGTTGTTAACAGTGTTACTTCTCCTCCTGCTGGCTGAGCCAGGTCAGCTCTACTCACATCTACCCAATGTCCATCTCAGCTCCTTATAGCTGCACAAGGGTCTGACACACACACACACACACACACACACACACACACACACACACACACACACACACACACACACACACACACCTGTGTGATTAGCAGCTACTTAAAGCCAGGTGTGTGAGTGCCGTGCTCCACTCCCAGTGTGTGTAGAGAGTACGTTTGTTGGTGATTTCTGTGTCCAGGTTCTCAGCAGGTAAACGATTTTTTTTCAGTTGTTCTTCTGGTTCTTGATCAGGAAGCATACACAGTCTGGGGGGGGGGGAGGTTGCACAGACAGTCTGTCTAAGAACAGAGGTATAAAAATACTCAAACGTACCTGAGTAAAAGTAAAAATACTCCCAACACACACCAAGTTATAACAGCAGCAAATTAACTTCCTAACCTATAAAAATGATAAATTTTCTCTCGAGTAAAAGTCTCTTCTTAACCATTTGATGCATGAAGGACAAGCAGGGACCTTCTTTTTAAAACGACTTCCTTAACTTTAGATGTTTTGATGGTGTGTTTTACTAATTTGATTCCTGACAAAATCTTGTTGAAACACTTCAACAGCCAGGTGTTTTTAATCATCTCATAACCTATTCCAGCCAAACGGGTCAGGATGCCTCTGCAGGCATGTTGTCGGCATGACCCCCGTTTTTCTTTGCGCCTAGTGTGGTTTGGGGGTCATTAACTCGGTTAAGTTCTCCGTTTCCACCACTGCAGGTTGTGTATGGCGGCTGTGCGACGTGCAGCTCGTTCGGCGCCTGAGTGCAGAAGCTCAGGATGCGGTTCCAACGGTGGTCTGATGGAGCCAGCTATTGGTCCAGCCAGCAGCAGAGATCCTGGATCTTCATTGCATCCACATTCCGTCTTTGGCCAGCCAGTCTTTTACGTTCCTGCTCCACCTGCCCCCCCTCTGGTCCACTGCCAGTGGCCCATGCCTTTACCTTATAACCCCTTCCCAGGCATGAGTGAGTTTTTAGTTTAATTCCTCAGAGTATTTGATGTAAATGTAGTTTTGAACTTGACTAAATGGTGCATGAATTGTTTATTTTCGCAACATACTTGGTGGAGACATGGACGTAATTTGGGGGGGGAGGGGGGGGGCAGGGGGGACATGTCCCCCCCACTTTTTCCAAAGTCAAGTTTTGACCCCTGCACTTTTAACCATCCAAAAACAATATTACACTATATTAAATTGACACTGGCTGAGCTGCAGGACCAAGCAGAAAACAACCGTTTGTGTTGAAGCCCGTTTCCCATTAGAACTGTTTCTCAACCCTGGTCCTCAGTGTGCCCCTGTCCTGTATGTTTTCCATGTCTCTGCTACGGCACACCTGGTTCACATATTTGCATTGCCTCCTCAGGATGACATCAAGTGCTGCATAGGCCTGTTAATCACTCATTCATTTAAGTCAGGTGTGTGGCAGCAGAGAAACAATGCTGTTGGAAACGGCAACATAGAAAGCATGCAGGAGGGGGGGGGTTGGGGGGGGGCTGAGGACCATGGCTGAGAAACACTGCATTAGAACATACTGTAAAGATATCCCCCCCCCCCCCCCCCCCCCATTTCTAAAGTGAAAATTGCGTCCATGGGAGGAGATGTTGCTGTAAAACAAAACAACCAGTTCCCATAACTGGTGTTCAAATACATGATTTTTTTTTCCTTGTGTAGGATGTGGTTTAAAGAGCAGACATGACATTTGCTCTTCTTGCTACTTAGGCTACGACATGGTTGTCCCCCCTCCACAGTTTCCCCCTCCCTTCTATCTGAGGGCTCCAGCCTATATTCTACCACACCCTCAGGTTCAACCAGCTGACTACAGACGCTTTCTCCACCCACACGTCTGCTCTCAAGGTCCGTCAAATCAGAACCTGATGACTAGAAACCACCAGCCTCAATCCGTCCCAATCACCACCGTGTCCTCTGAGGTCCAAACGGAACCGGAAAGGAGCGCCGTAGGTGACCACGATGCCCACTTGCCACCAGCCGGCTCAGATTCTTGTTTAGAAACTGCTTCAGTCTCCACATGCTTCTCAGGCTCGAGTTCTCCAAACGGAGAACCGGCAGGAGCTCCAGACTACGAGTTGCCCTGCTGTGATGGAGACGGTCCGGTTGAGCTTGCCGACGGATCATGTTCAGGAGCGGAGGAGGAAAGCCAGATGGAAAAGGATGATGCTGGTCAGCATCAACTAGATGTTTCCTTCTGGTCAGTAGAGTCTGTCGCCCCATACATCCCATCTAAAGAGTGGCTCATCCGTAATGGCCTGGCTAGGCCTGATGAGATTCAAACCCCAAATCAGGACCACGCTGAGGAGATTAGAGAGGAAAGGAGGCAGAGCTTCAAGTTTTCTTTCTGTTCTGACATGTTTTCTGGCTGCGTGTCTAAAGTCCACAATGAAAACCAAAGTCTTCCAAAGGAAAACGTGTTGAAAGGAGAACAGGACATCCTTCTCAGTGAGCAGAGGGAGCCAGAGGAAGAGCAGACTGTGGCTAACCCAGAAGAGTATACCTCATCTTTTCACCCTTCCATGCTTAGTCAGGATGTACCAACCAACACTGAGGAGGAAGGTGAATATCCTGCTGAACTTCCAAACCAGGAGTCTCTTGTGAAGGAGCAGGAGAAGAGTGCTGGAGTTCCTCTGGAAGAACTGATCCTCCATTCACCAGCAGAAGAGGGTGCTGAGATGAGCGACGGCCCCGGCCTGAACATACACGAGTCGTCCCCGTTCAAGGGCCATTTAGTGGATTTTGGTGTCCAGTGCGGTGAACTGCAGGTGCACAAATGTGTGTGTGAGGAAAGGAGTGAAATAAGACTTCAGCTCAAAAACTCAGGTGGGACACTTGATTTGAACGATTTTAAGAACCTTTTCAGAAGCTAAAGTTCAGCTTGTCTCACAGATGTGAAAGGTCAGAAGGACGAGACGAAGACGCTCTCCAGAAACAGATGCGTTCAGAGGAGGAACAGACATCAGAGGTAATGCTGCAGCAGTCATCAGGACGCCGGCGGGGTCTCGGTGTTCAGCACTGATCACATGGATGTTTAAACGTTGAATCAAACGGCCTTTGGTTAAACTTTGGTCCTGCTGGTCCCCTTTTCCTCTGATTCTCCAGTCTGTCTCCTTAAGGTTCCTGTCGCTGAACGGAGCAGCACATTCTCTTGCAGGAAGTCCAGAAGGGGAGGTCCAGAGCAGCTGAACAAACGACGGATCCTGTCCTCTGGGCAGTAGGCACGCTCAGACTGGACATCGCTGTCCGCTGGCATCGTTGTAGCTGACAAGCTAACGGATGGATGCGGTTTTAATGTGTTTGTTTTGACATCGTTGTGTGCAAATGATGGGCGAAACCCTGGATTTTAGACTTTAAAATGTGATTTATTTTTATTGGTGGTTTGTGAAATAAATAAAATGTTTTTCTAAGATCAGTGCTGTTGTTGAGAAGGGAGGGCAGTTATTAGCTGAAAGATCTGTGATCAGACTGAACATCTGAGGCCTAGTCCACACGTAGCCGGGTTTTTTAAAAACTAATATCCGCCCCTCCAAAAACTTGCATCCACACCACCTCGTTTAAAAAAAAAAACTCTGTCCACACGTACCCGGATAAATACGTTGTTAAAGAGCAAGTCACCTCCAAATAAACTTTTTTTTTTGCTGATAAACTAAACGAGTGTCTAATCGTGCTGCAGACACGTGTCGTCAATTTGGCACTTCAGTGCATCTTAGTTAAAATTTAAATATTCTGCCTAAAACCGGCAGTGTTGTGCCGTTGTCAGGTAAAAACTCTGCACCGTATTTTAAATTAAATCTGCCACCGCTATTGGCTAAGAAGTACGCTATGATGTAAACTGGTACATTATGATGTCACAATGCTGTCGTGAGCCTGAGTGTGTGTATTTGTTAGCGGCTCCGCCCTCTCGGTCTGCCAGGCAACAGCATGTGTTGCATTTTTCAAACATGAAGTGGGAGTGGAGTTACTCTGGTGGGGGTTGACTTGCTCTTTAAGGACATGCCAGACCTGTAGGAGGCAGTACTTTCACCGCTCTTAACCTCGTCCTTCGTCTGTGGTCTTCCACAAGGAGCAGGAATTCCGCTTGCAAAAACAAACAAGCAGAAAGCACTTGGACAATTGATAAAGCGAGCGCAGCTCTGAGGGCGTCCATGCTGTCGGCTAGTGTAAACACTGGTCGCACACGTGATGTCAGCATTTTTTTGTCACGGAAAGTGACGTTGCGGACCTTAAAACTCCGGTTTTGTCTGTCCACACGCAGACACCCAAAACGGAGAAAACGCAGATCTTCACTTTGGCCGGAGTTTTTAAAAAGATCCGTTTTCGTGTGAAAAAACTCCGTTTTCGTGTGGATGACTGGCCAAAACGTAGACAAATATCTACGTTTTGGCAGATCCCCGGCTACGTGTGGACAGGGCCTAAAATGTGCTGCTGCACAAAGACGGCCTTGGAACAGAAACCTGCTAAATTGGGATTATTTTCTGCATCAAACAAAACATCTGTTTCACCTCTAATTCAGAGCTCAAAGCCTTTTAATAATAATTCATAAGACTTGTATAGCGCTTTTGAGGTCACTCAGACACGATATAAACATTAAGAAAAAAGCACACACTAGCAGTCTGCTGCAGAGGACGGTCAGGGGAAGGCCAGTTTGGAAAGATGAGTTACGAGCAGTTAAAGGTGCACAGTGAGTCGGAGTTCCTGATAGTTGGGGCGGCGGTGACAAAGGCTCGCTCTCCCAGGGTGTGGGATTGAGTTCTGAAGGAGGAAAGATGATTGGAGTCAGCAGGAGAACGATGAAGGTCAGTTGGATACGGCAAGGCAAGGTTACTGAGAGATTTATAGGTGATGAGCAGTTGGTATTGAACTGGGAGCCAGTGGAGTTTGAGGACAGGAGATCTGTGGTCTCTGGAGCGTGTACGGGTGAGGAGATGAGCAGCTGGATTCTGGATGTACTGCAACATTGCTCTGAAAGTAGTTTAAATGTAGGTGCTTTAGGAGAGCCAAGAGATGTTGTCCCTCCTGCCTCTGCAGTCCAGGCGGGTGAAACTGGACTCCTGGTGGTGGAGTGTTACTGGGCTAGGCAAATAGCAGGATTTGCCCCTGCTGTATGTGGCTTTGTGAGAATTGTTTTGAATGTTTAGTAATGACACTTTAATAGTCCAACTAGCTGCTCCTTGCTCCAGATGTAATGTTAGACTGTCAAAACCCTGCTTCTGTCCTACTGCACCACTTCTGTCAAGTTCTACTTTTACTTACTTTCTCGTCTTGAAATCGATACTTGCTGCTTTTGTGTGTTTGAGACAAAATACGTCGAACATTCTTAATTTTAGGGGAGCATCAAGTTGAAATGCTCCAAAGAATCTGAGTTCTCTAGGTTATTGTGATCATTTAATGTAGTGAATGACAGCTGGCACAGAAATGAGTATGTAAGAGTGCACTTCTAATTGTGAATGAGTGTTCTGTCTGTGTAGTCAGAATGCAGGGCTACACAGATAACAGGAAGTAGACCCACCCAGTAAGAAACTGGCAACCTACTGGTTACACCCACCCATCCATCCATCCATCCATCCATCCATCTATCCATCCACCCATCCATCCATCCATTCGTCCATCCATCCATCCACCCACCTATGCATCATCCATCCATCCATCCATCCATCTATCCATTCGTCCATCCATCCATCCATCCATCCATCCATCCATCCATCCATCCAACCACCTACGCATACATCCACCCACCCACCTATGCATCCATCCATCCATCCATCCATCCATCCATCCATCCACCCACCCATGCATCATCCATCCATCCACCCACCCACCCACCTGTGCATCCATCCATCCATCCACCCACCCACCTGTGCATCCATCCATCCATCCAACCAACCACCTACGCATACATCCACCCACCCACCTATGCATCCATCCATCCATCCATCCATCCACCCATCCACCCACCCACCCACCCACCTATGCATCATCCATCCATCCATCCATCCACCCACCCACCTGTGCATGCATCCATCCATCCATCCATCCATCCATCCACCCACCCACCCACCTATGCATCATCCATCCATCCACCCAACCACCCACCTACGCGTACATCCACCCAGCCACCTATGCATCCATCCATCCATCCATCCATCCATCCATCCATCCATCCATCCATCCACCCACCCACCTATGCATCCATCCATCCATCCATCCATCCATCCACCCACCCATGCATCATCCATCCATCCACCCACCCACCCACCTGTGCATCCATCCATCCATCCAACCAACCACCTACGCATATATCCACCCACCCACCTATGCATCCATCCATCCATCCATCCATCCATCCACCCACCCACCCACCCACCTATGCATCATCCATCCATCCATCCACCCACCCACCTATGCATCATCCATCCATCCATCCACCCACCCACCTGTGCATGCATCCATCCATCCATCCATCCACCCAACCACCCACCTACGCATACATCCACCCAGCCACCTATGCATCCATCCATCCATCCACCCACCCACCTATGCATCCACCCACCTACGCATACATCCACACACCCACCTAGGCATCTATCCATCCATCCACCTACACATCCATCTACCCACCCACCTATGCATCCATCCATCCATCCATCCGTCCGTCCGTCCGTCCATCCATCCATCCATCCATCCATCCATCCATCCATCCACCCACCCACCCACCCACCTATGCATCATCCATCCATCCATCCATCCACCCACCCACCTGTGCATCCATCCATCCATCCATCCACCCACCCACCCACCTATGCATCATCCATCCATCCACCCAACCACCCACCTACGCATACATCCACCCAGCCACCTATGCATCCATCCATCCATCCATCCATCCATCCATCCACCCACCCACCTATGCATCCATCCATCCATCCATCCATCCATCGACCCACCCATGCATCATCCATCCATCCATCCACCCACCCACCTGTGCATCCATCCATCCATCCATCCAACCAACCACCTACGCATACATCCACCCACCCACCTATGCATCCATCCATCCACCCACCCACCCACCCACCTATGCATCATCCATCCATCCATCCACCCACCCACCTGTGCATGCATCCATCCATCCATCCATCCATCCATCCATCCATCCATCCATCCATCCATTCGTCCATCCAATCCATCCATCCATCCATCCATCCATCCATCCATCCATCCATCCACCTACGCATCCATCTACCCACCCACCTATGCATCCATCCATCCGTCCGTCCGTCCGCCCATCCATCCATTCATCCAATCCATCCATCCATCCATCCATCCATCCACCCAACCACCCACCTACGCATACATCCACCCAGCCACCTATGCATCCATCCATCCATCCATCCATCCATCCATCCATCCATCCATCCATCCATCCACCCACCCACCTATGCATCCACCCACCTACGCATACATCCACACACCCACCTATGCATCTATCCATCCATCCACCTACACATCCATCTACCCACCCACCTATGCATCCATCCATCCATCCATCCATCCATCCATCCATCCATCCGTCCGTCCGTCCGTCCGTCCGTCTGTCCGTCCATCCATCCATCCATCCATCCATCCACCCACCCACCCAACAACCCACCCACCTACGCATACATCCACCCACCCACTTATGCATCCATCCATCCATCCATCCATCCATCCATTCGTCCATCCAATCCATCCATCCATCCATCCATCCACCTACGCATCCATCTACCCACCCACCCACCCATCCATCCATCCATCCATCACATCCATCCATCCATCCATCCAATCCATCCATCCATCCATCCATCCACCTACGCATCCATCTACCCACCCACCCACCCATCCATCCATCCATCCATCACATCCATCCATCCATCCATCCATCCATCCATCCATCCATCCATCCATCCATCCATCCATCCATCGCCAGAGTACAGTGAACTCATTGTCGTGTTCAAGAAACCAGTCTGAGCCTGCTTGTCCAGCAGCAGATGCCTCTTGCATGTTAGAGGTGTTTTATTCTACTTTTCCCGTGTGTGACATCAGAAATATGGACTTTTTGGACAAGGATTAATTTGGGCACATAATTTCAAAAACATAATCACTGACAGAAAATGGATGGACGCATCTTTTCATGTTTGAAATGGTTTTAGATGCAGTAGAGACGCACAGGGCAGCACAAAAGGATACAACCTGTGAGTTTTGCATAATATGTCCCCCTTAGAAATGAAAATCCAAAGAAACTTGAGAAGCAAGCACACATGAAGGCCTCTTACATCCAGCAAAAATATTCTACTGTGGAAAGCTGCTGCACAATAATAATCAACAATCCTATCTCAAATATAATACTAAAGCTTTTGCCATCAGAGTTAAACATAGAAGAGACGTGGTAAAGCTGGTGTGATTCAGAAGATTCTGTTATGAAAGCTTTAAGTCAGAAACAAATGCAGAGAGGCAACCGGGCCGGTGTTCTGGTCTCTGCTGATCTCTAAAATACCAGCATCATGAAAACATAGGAAAAGCTAGCGGGCACTAAAGCGGTGATGATGAAGTCACATTTATTTGAAGGAGGCGCGGACATGACGACCTTTGAGGAGCTGCGGAGGACGAAAGTTGTCCACCATGCAGCAGGGAGTTTCTCCATCTCCAGTGAAGAGGAGGCTTCGGAACTTGGCCATCTAACAGGAGGAAGAGAGAAAAGGTGTTTAAGCTCTGATCTTCATATACATTTGATCAGGATCAGCAGCAAGATCTCCTAACAGGGAGAACAGATGTCCATGTGCCAGCTGTTTGGTCCTGGCTCTGATCTTCATTCAAACTTTGTCCAGAGTTCAGCTGAGGACAAGCACCGATTATTTCATCTGATTGTGTTTCCATTTTTATTTGAGTGGTTCATTTAGGAGTCACATTTAAGATTTCTTATTTTAGACACAGAAGTGTTGTACTAAAACTGGCAGGATCTGCTCCTGTAGCCTCCTGTGTCTGGTGTCTCGTCTCCCTTTTTAGTGTTGATTGGACTCACCTGCCCTCTTTACCTGTTTCCCTGATCATCCTCATGCTGTTTAACCCTCTGTTTGTGCTGATCTGCGTCAGATCCTCGTCCCGTCTACCCGTTGTATCATCCTACCTGCCGTTTTTCCCTTTTCAACTGTTCTGTTGCCTGCAAGTCTGCTTCCTGCTCACCTGCGTTTAGGTCCCGTTGCAACCAGCTCCGCTTCTTACCAAAAATATAAGCTTTAAAAACCATTTAGAGCATAAAGAAACACAACTGAATACAAATTGTATTATTTTTGAATTCAGAAATGAAAATAGGAGTATTGATCATGCAGTGGAAACCAAACATTTTCTGAATAACTGAATTAGAATCTTGCTCTAACCTGTCAGTAGTTTAATGGATTATAAATTGGAAGTATTAGATATCATTTATTCTATTTTCAGTTAAAATAACGCACACGCACACACACACACACGCACACACACACACACACACACGCACACACGCACGCACGCACGCACACACACACACACACACACACACACACACACACACTCACACACACACACACGGCTGTCTGTAAGAAGTCTAAAAGCCAGCGTGTGAAAGGTTCCCTTTAGGAGGCCATATTGTTTTAGCTGTTCAGCCTACAAATCACGTGGAGAGATGGTTCCAAACTAACAACCTCCAGCTGAACATCAGTTAAAGCGAAGAGATGGTAATAGACTTTGGGAGGAAACAACAGTGTTCCTACCCCCCTCCCTTGATGGTGCTCCCGTGGAAAGAGTAGGAAACATCCCTCAGAGTCCATCTACCAGACAATCTCACCTGGTCTACCCACATCCACACTCAGGTCAAGGAGGAGAAACAGCAGCTCTACCACCTGAGACAGCTGAGGAGATTTGGGGTCTCTCCCGGGATCCTCCAAACCTTTTACACAGTTGCTGTGGAAAACATCCTGACCATGAGCATCACATCTTGGTTTATCAACAGCACCATGCAGAACCGTAGAAGTCCTGCAGAGAGTGATCAGAGCAGCTGAATGCTGCACCAAATCCGAACTACCCTCCCTTCAGGACCTCTACACCAGACGCTGCAGAGACAGAGTCACCACGACCATCAGGGACACATCTCACCCAGGCAGCTGTCTATTTGGGCTGCTGAACTCGTTTTTACCCACAGAGTATAAGGCTCCTCAGTCAGATCACGCCCCACCACCATAACTAACACTGATAACGACACCGCAAGGAAAGTTGACCACTGAGCAGGGTTGATGGTTTATCCCTTGGGTCCATGTGGCAGGGGTGAGGAGTGAGCACCACCTCACCCCTGCCACGTGGACCTCAATGGATAAACCATCCTACCTGCTCAACTTTCCTTGCGGGGTCACCCATAAAGACAGTGGGAGGGTTAATCCAATATGATAAAAAACAACGCACACGTTATCAACTCCAATAGTCTCCCCTTCATTCCACGTGCTGATATCATGTTATATCATCTTGCCCACACATCTGAACATTTACATGTACGTGCCTGATTTGTATCTTTCCCTACACGCTTACACTTTCGCCCTTCAATCATTGTGTACATAGTCTAGAACACACTTACATGTATTTGTGTTGAATGTTCAAGTCTATGGGGTTCAGGGTTACATTTCACGTGTACTTGTAAGACTGATCAAGTGACAAATAACCCTTTTGAATCCTTTGAATCTTGTTGGCTGCACATCTGTGTGGCTGAGGCCAAACAACACCCAGGTATTCATCATGTAAAAAGTTACGATGCAGTTATTTACTGTAGAATAATACAAAACAGTCAAACAAAAGCACAATTTCCTTCAGATGACTCCGTGCACCATGAAATCTTCCTTATTCATTTGCTGAACCTGATTTTATACTCAGAAAGACTGAAGCTTTGTCTGTAAAACTCCAAACCAGAACCACCTGTGACCCGAGAAGCTGCAGCTTTTATGGATCTCCAGATCTGCTCAGGACCAGCCGAATAGTTCAGCTCATGTGGCTTTGTGTGCACACAAGTCGGTAAAAAGAAAGTGTCACAACAAAAATGACCAATGCTTCACGAGTTAGTTCACAGTTCTGTATAAAACTTCCATCAGTAACAAAAACCCATCCAGACTCGCCCTCCTGGGCCAGAGCCGGGTGTGGCAGAAAACTTAATGATATAGAACGGGGTGACTCAGGGTGTTGGTGTAATCTAGAAGACACAGAACGTCCTGCCCAGATTATCTGGTAGCATGGACGTAATTTTTGGGGGGGACAGGGGGGACATGCCCCCCCCCCCCACTTTTTCCAAAGTCAAGTTTTGACCCCTGCACTTTTTACCATCCAAAAACAATATTACACTATATTAACTTGACACTGGTTGAGCTCTAGGACCAAGCAGAAAACAACAGTTTGTGTTGAAACCTGTTTCCCATTAGAACATACAGATTACCGCCCCCCCCCCCCCCCCCCCCCCCGTCCCGTCCACTTCTAAAGTGAAAATTACGTCCTTGTCTGGTAGCAGGTTAGTCCAACAGAGATGGATGGGGACTGCAACGTCCCTTCAAATGTGACACACTTTAAAGCGTCAGACTGGTGGCCTATCAGCGCACTCCGTCCTTCATGTGACGTTGAAGAGAAGACAAGAACAGCAGGCCCTTTAGGCGCTGCATCTCATGAATGATTGAGTGGTTTTGTGAGACACCCACCTGAGCAGGGCTGACACTTATTGGCTCCTTTAGGACAATCCAGGTGACACTCTCCAAGAGTGGAGGAGTAGTTAAAGAGCCTTCATAGGTCCAATGATCCAGCGAAGCAGGAAGTAGAGTCTTTGCGTCAAAGTTAGAAAACGTGGTTTGCTTTCCCTGCAAGCGTCAGAGCAGAGGCAGAAATAAAAACCACATTCTTCCAGGTTTCTCCCGCTTTTCCAGCCAAGCTGGCATTCAGCTGCTGACGCTCGTACCTTGGTCTTAATAGAATCCAGCGCATCCAGAACTTTCTGCAGTCGGGGGTTGGCAGCACCAATCTGAATAATAAAAACATTTCTATCACAAAAGCCTTTTTAGAGCCTTTTTAGCTTTGTCCTGACAAACAGACTTTGAGCTGGAGCCCCACAGCTGCTGTGCTCTGACTGATCTGGTGCTGTGATGAATCACTGATTCCTCACCTTGAGAAAGACACCGATCACAGCGAGTCCATCCGGCTTGTCAGCAGCTTCTCCAAAGCTGGGGTATTTAGTGTTCCAATGCACCAGGTGGAGCTAAGGTGAAAAGAAGCAGAGCATCACCTGAATTGGCCAGGGAACACCAAGGTCGCTGACCTGGACGACGTGTCCCATGATGAGCTTCTGCAGTATGAGAACAACCCTACACCATGTCCTAATTCACCCCTTTGGAGGTTTTCTCAGACAGGCTGAGTCAACTCCTTGTTTCTGCAGCTGATTGGACATGTCTTAGACCTTTGATGTTGTCACACACATTTTAGAAAAAGAAACATGAAATGTTGATTGAAGTGATTCATGCCGCGGCCGTTTGCCTGACCAGGCTGAGCCACTTTTGTACCTCACAGGGGAACTTGATGCCGTTGACATAGTGCTCAGAACCTCGGTCATCGCTGGCACCCCAGTGGAAGTGAAACTGCCTCAGACGGTAGGTTCCAGAAAGCGGACCTCCGGTCAGGACTGGTGAAGACAACATCATGATAGAATCACTGCGGCGTGATCAGCAACACAGTCCCTCCTCTACACCCTTCAATGTTCAGGTCTGGCTTCCTGTTTGTCTACTTTTAAGAATAGGCTTGAAACATTTTTATTTGATAGGGCCTATGGTTAAAATCTGATGTTAGCCTAAATCTGGACAAGTGGGGGAGTACAGGGAGGTGGAGTGTACAGTCGGTAAAGACGGCTCTCCCTTGCCCTGCCTCCAACATGCCTCCATCTAAAAGGCTAGATTATCCAGAGTTATCTCTGTAGTTATGCTGCTATAGGCTTAGACTGCTGGAGGATACACTGACCACTTTTCACACTCTACTGCTTTCTTCTACAATCTGCTCTTTAACTGTACTATTTTGTGCAATTTCAGCTGTTAACTTTATTTTCTCTGTAAGTGTTTTTCTCCCCAGAAGAAGCTACAGCGATGTTCTGCTGAGCTGTGGTGACCTCATGGAGGGGGCCATCGACTAGCACACTGCTGCTAACCACTTAAACATTCTCCCTCTCCTGATAATAACTTTTTGTTTTCATTGACTTTTGATGTGCTAATACTAGTTTATCCGTTTAATTATAGACCCACTAGGATAAATACAATAAAGTTTATCTTTCACCAAATAGAATATTTACTAAGACATCACAATATAACTATAGACTTATTACTTGTCTTTGTGTGTGTGTGTGTGTGTGTGTGTGTGTGTGTGTGTGTGTGTGTGTGTGTGTGTGTGTGTGTGTCTGCTCTGTCTTCTCGATCCCCAGTGAGTCGTGGTGGATGGCTGTTTATACTGAGCCAGGGTTCCCTGGAGGTTTCTTCCTGTTAAAAGGGAGTTTTCCTCTCCACTGTCGCTGCATGCTTGCTTAGTATGAGGGTTGCTGTAAAGTCACTGACACTAGTCAGTGACTTGATGCAATTTGCTGGGTTCCTTATATAGGAAACATTATTTCTGATTGGCTTAATGAACTGACCTGAATTGGAATGTTTATTATGTGAAGTGCCTTGAGACGACTCTTGTCGTGATTTGGCGCCATATAAATAAACTTGAATTGAATTGAATTGAATTGTTGCGGTCGGACCACGTTTAGCTTAAGCTGCTGACTCCATCCAAGGTTTCTTGCTCTAGGTCATTCAGGATCATTGAAGCTGGTCAAGAGCTCAGAGCTTTATGATGCTTTTTCTGATTCAGGACCTCATTTATGTTTATTGACCGAACACGTAAATACGTTTTATATGACTTAGTTTGTTATTAATCAAGCTGACGCACTGAACATGCCTGTTGACACCCAGATGTAAAAGCCATGGCTGATAGGAGATAACGGAGCTCTGACGTCATTAGACACTCTTATCTGTGCTAGTGCACACAGCAGCAGGGGGTTGGGGGACTGTTTTGTGGGAAGTGTTAAATGCTGAAGTAAAATGAATGGAAAATACATTTTCCTAGACTCCCTTTTTGTTAGACAACCCCGTTGCTGTATGTTTGAATCTCATATCAAATGAAATCATTTAGGACAAAATAGTATATTTTCTCTACAGCGTTCTCACGTAATTCCACAAAACCACACGAAAATATGTAAAATACGCAGATAAAAGGATTCTCAATCAGTAGAAATGATTTCTTTTCGTGGCTCTCTGGTCCAACGCTCACCTGAGCTGTCGGTGTCGTCCACAAAGTCCACCTGGAACGAGTGTCCATTGTTGAGAATCCCCTTGGCGTTGGAGGGGTCATACCTGGGTTTCAGAGGCTTTAGAGAAGGGTCGTACTGGGCCTCTTTGGTGACAATGTTGATAGGAGACTGTCTGGGCCCGTTAGCTACAGGGAAATTCTCTGCCCACTTGTCAGGTCCTAAATGCAAATACGTATTTAGATCATTGACCCCAAACCACATCTAATCAACAGCAATATGTCGCTCCAACTCAGACCAACAACACTAAACCGAAAGACTCCAGGAGTTCCTCATCGAGTGACGCCGTCCCTTCGTGGTTATTAAAGCTGCACATGAATCGACGCGGGCTACACGATGAACACAAACAACTAACTCACACTCATCAAAAGATCAAATGGATTTTCTCTGGTTTCTCTCAAAGACTTGACAGCAATGCCTCACCTGTAACGTAGCAACCCGAGATGGTTCACTGCGTAAATCAGCAGAGAGCCCTCAGACGGGATTCAGACCTGTGACCTTCTTGCTGCGGCAGACAGCAGTGCTGCCGAATGAGCCACCGTGTCGCTTTTGTTAAAAGGTAAAACGAATAAGATGATATTCACGTCAACACGATCACTCACTAACGCAGACGAATTCGTTTATGACGACGTGTCTCACGAAGGCCTACGTGTGACATCAGTAAACCAATAAAACCGGTCTGGTGAAGTGTGTGGAGCGTCACGGCGGTCAGCGTAAGGTTTTCTCTGAAGTATTCTGGTTGTTGTTACACAGAAACGCCAACGTCAAGTACATGGAGGAATTCCTTACCGTCGGCTGGTCCGTATCCCCACCCATGAGACATGGTTGCTCCTCTGTGGCAAACAGTCAAAGCAGAAGGTGAAAAGACAAGTGATGATGACTTTGTGACCGCTGCCCATCGAGGTCCTTTTAAAGGGTGTCTCAGTCATGGTGGGCTTGGCTTGCTTGGGCGTTCAGCCAGAAGAAGCTGGAAGCCATCTGGTCATGGACCTTCTGCTCTTCAATAGGCTAGAAAACGTGGAGAGGCAGTTTCATAAGAAATACAACGGTAATAAATTTAATCAGCAATCGATCAAAAGCAACTCTAATGCTGAATGACACGTTTTAAAATTATTTTTCGACACATTTGTGATAATTTTTTAAGTTCGTGGTTTCATTCCTGTTCATCTCACCTCCCTGCTCGTAGTTATCTGCTTCTTGACTTTCATATGCTTGCATCCTACAGCAGGGCCGTAAATGGGGCTCCAGCCCCCACATGTCTTCCTTAATCATGCTCTGTCATTGCCCGTCTCAGGAAAACGCGTACCGGGACGATAAATGTGCATATTAGTCATGCTATTAATAACAAAATGGAAGCTTTACTTGGCCCAAAAATAAGACAAAAAAAATCTCCACCTAGAAATCCTGGAATGACTCGGATCCCAGCTACTGTGGGACTGCTGAGGTGGCAGACAAGTTGCCAGTTGGAGGGGGTACTGCCAAGAACCTGCGCTCCCCAATTAATGGTGGGGCCCCTGCTGCATCGCCCTCCTCAGGCATACAGCACCAGGGATTTGGGGGTTTAGTGGGGCAGAGGTTGGATGGGTGGAGCTGCCAAACTGTGGCCTCACCCTTCAGCCTCCCGCTCCAGCTCTGGTGAGCTTTTACTTAATCAAGGCTTCATTTGAATTCTCTCAGCATTTTTTTCACGTGCATCTGAAACAACACAACCACAGCACCTTGTCTGTGTTTCGATCTTCTGGCTTTCAGCATGCACTTGTCTAATTCCTGAAACCTGCTTTTGACCAACACGTTTTCTTGTGATTTTCTGCACCGTTTCATAGCAGACTCCTCACTGTTATGGAAAAATGGCCTTTAACCCACAAGTATTTATTCTAACAGCATCCTTTCCATCACGCTCGTCTCTCTCACCTCCGTGCTCAACCTGTCATTTAATTTGGTTTTGGTGATCAGTGAGCACGCTCCACGCGCTCTGGACCTGCGTTAAAGTCCCGCCTCCTATAACAGCCACAGCTTTCTGTACAGTTTGTGCAAGATTTAAAGTCCAAACTGGAGACTGTCAGTAATGCGAGACACAGTCTCGATTTGCAGAACGTGTGAAAAGTATAATGAAAATGCGGGACTGTACCACACAAAGTGGGACGTCTGGTCACTGAGGTGGTTACGGCTCCATGGGGGGATCAAATCTGCCCGGAGTTCCTCAAGGCTCTGGATATTGTGGGGCTGTGTTTTCATCTAGGCGTCAAACAAAATACAGTTTTCTTCTTGTTCTTCACAGAAGGCCACCTGCACACAAATCTGGTCATGAGGAACTTAACAAAGCACCTTAAGACTCAGAATCAGAATCAGAATCAGAATCAGAATCAGAATTAGAATCAGAATAGGTTTATTGCCATTGTCAGTGAACAAACAATTCACAAACTAGGAACTTGCTTCGGTACTAATGTGCTACATATAACACGAATAATAAGATTAAAAATAGAATAAAATAGAATAAAAAAACTAGAATAAAACTTTCAGCGATAAAAAATGGCGGGTAACGGTAACATGGCCGATAACGTGACGTTGTGTCGAGTACAGAAGACCAGCATGGTTGTGTTTATAATCTATTCACAAGTCTAACGGCAGATGGAAAGAAGCTGTTCTTATGGCGGGAGGTTCTGGTCCGGATGGACCGTAACCTCCTGCCTGAGGGGAGCGGCTCAAAAAGTCTGTGACCCGGGTGCGAAGGGTCAGCTGCTATCCGACCTGCACGCCCCCGAGTTCTGGAGACGTACAGGTCCTGGATGTAACTGTAAGAAACTTCACTTCATTAAACAGCTTTCTGTTACCAATAAAAATGAAACACATTTACTGTAAAAAAGTGAGAAAGACCTTTCATTCCTGACATTAAGAACATGTGAGATTAAATAACTGATTCCCTGTTGACTTTGCAAACACGACCACTTAGAAAGAATGGGTCTAATTTCCCTAGCTTTATTTGAATAGAAATATAACATTAATTTAAAAACATAGGAAAGCTAAAAGTAAAATTTTTAAATGTCAGACATGATCGCCTCTACAGCAATAATCAACCTGTTTGTTTTTATTTGACTTCCATTCCTCAAGATAAATGAAAAAACAGACAAAAATAAATTTGCTTCACTTTTAGTGTAACAGTTACCCGTGGATCTCTTAAAAGAGACGACATCAAGTCCAACCTTGAACTTCTGAATGGATTCTGGAACATAGTTCTCTTTGAAAGTCAAGATATTTCCCCCTCCATCCTGTTCAGCTGTAAAACAATCAGAATCGATGTCTGAGTGCCAAAAACAAGCCTAACAGTTGTACTCTCGCAGGTGGAGCGTTATAGACCCAGCTGTAACAACCCACCTGATGCAAAAACGTGATTAGAAATGCTTTTGGTTGTTTTTCACCACAACAGACAGTTTGAGTGACATGGAGTTACATTGTGTAGTTTAAGTTTTTTTTAGCAGTCTATAATTGTGTACACATAAATCAGTGAAAACAACATTAGATGCAGACTCTGTATAAAAGTTTTATTCTAACCCTGAATCGCACGTTTTGTTGTACTTGATTTTAAATGATAAATAATTATGTTATTATTTAAGATTTATGAGCTTGTACAATTTTGTAATGAAACTGACTACAAATCAGCTGTGGTGTGTGTTCCAGCAGAATCTCTTCTCCCCCAGCGCAGCTGCTACTTACCACATGGCCAGATTTATAGTGCTTTTCTCCACATTTAAAGCACCTTCTTTCACCCATTTTTCTTCTGCTCTTCTCCATCTCTGGTTTGGTAACGTAAATTTGGTGAGACGAGCATTTGTAGTCCACTGTGTCTTCATACGGAGCCTGAAATAATGTTTGCCACTTGTCAAACATAAGGGCTTTCTTTGGCATCCAAATGTCTCTTTGAAAATCACAGACATCATATGTTAAATCTATCAAACAGGATAAGAAAATCATTTTAATTTTCTCAAAGACTCCCATAGATTTTTTTTTATTTTTTTTGCAGAAGGCGATCCATAGTGCACAGGTGGTGGGGCATGACTTAAGCTCGTTATACCCGCCGTTGGACAGGAGTCTACGAGACATGAATTGTTGGTCGGACTCGGCCTCTCACTGGTTCTTGGCAGGGATGCTAGATGTGGAAAAAAATGTTTTGTAGACTGAGATATGTGTTGAGACTTGTGCTTTGAAAGTTTGTATCAAATTTCTTTCTGCAAGTTACCAAACAGTAAAAAACAAAGAGTTACATGCTACAAAACAAAAGCTGCAAGTTAAAAGTATTAAAATTCTGATTCTTACAACTAGCAAAAGAACAGGGAGGGAGGGCTGTGCCAAATATATACCATTACTATCAGGCAGCACAAATAGCACCACTCATTGATTGGTGTGACCCGCAAAACTTGAACCACTGGAAAATAATAGAGACAAAGAGAAAGGAAATACCAATCCAAACATTACTGGGGGAAAATACCAGAAAAGAATACTGGACGAAAAATATTGAAAAACTGGACCCGATAACTAAGTTTAGTTTAGAAACCTGGTGGAACATAAGCAAGAAACTAAAAATAGAGGGAGAGCTAAGATTGCTAAGATGGATAGGGTGGGACTCGGACTTTGAACCTGGAAAAAGGGATAATAGATTCAAAAAATGGAATGAGACAGGAATGACAGCATTAGGAATAATTCAGAAAGAAGGGATGATAAACAGTTTCCAAGAATTGAAAGAAAAATTTGACGTGGAAAATAAGGATATGTTTAGATATTTACAACTAAGAGATTACTACACTAACAGAATTCAAAGGAAAATTCGAGGGAATAATCAAATAATAACAATGATGATCCAAACATATACAAATCCAGCACCTAAACGGAAATTATCCATAATATATAAAACATTATTGACGATAGAAAACCACTCAACACAGTATATCAAAGAAAAATGGGCAAAAGAAATTAGGGAAGAAATACTGGACGGGGAATGGGAGGAGATGTGGAAAACACAAAATAGGACAACACAATCACAAAAATGGAGGGAATTTGCCTGGCAGAACCAAATACGATACTTCAGCACACCGAAAATCATAAGTAAACAAATACAAAAACAAACGAGATGTTGGAGGAATTGTGGAAATATAGAATCCAATCACGCCCACATATTTTGGGAATGCAAGAACATAAAACCTTTTTGGAATCAAATATATGAGAACACCAAAATAATATTAGGATATTATTTTCCACAGACATTTAAATTAATGTACCTAGGATCCATACGGGAAGAAATAGCGGGGGGAGACCAATATCTGATGAGGATACTCATGATAGCAGCCAAGAAAGCCATCACTAGAAAATGGTCCAGACCAGAGACCCCAACAATAGAAGAATGGAAGACAATTGTTGGAGAAATACAGGAAATGGAGAAGCTGACATTTAGACTAAGACTGAAAGGGGAACAAATGCATAAACGATGGGCTAAATGGAGACATACAGATATATAGAACTGGAGAGAAAGAAGAAATCTGCAGATGAGCCGACCTTTTGATTTATTTATATATGGGTTTTTTTTTTTTTTTTTTAATCTTTTTATTATTATTATTTTTTCTTTTTTATTTATTTTGTTTTTCTGTCGTCTTTTTTTTCTTTTCGTTTTGTATGCATTGTAAGTACTCAAAAGAAGGAGAAGAAAAATGAATGATTAGAAAGAGAAAACAAGCCAAGAAGATAGAAATAGAAAAACAGGTTAATCGGGGAAGGAAGAACAACGGACACGGAAGGGAATGAGAAGACAAGAAGACAAAGGTAAAGAATGGACAGAATAACGGCGGAAGAGCACAAACAAAGAAAGACTTCTAGAAAACGAACGAGGGGAAATGAACAGAACTCAATGTTAAAAATATGATGAATGCTGAGTACGAAGGGGGAATGTGTTTGTAAAGTAAAAGTTGATAAATAAAAAGTTAAAAAAAAAAAAATTCTGATTCTAGCTCCATATGAAAGG